TTGCTGAATTCTTGGGCAAGACATTTAACCTTTATAGTAGCTCTGTTCATCTAACAGCTTTCTCTATCTGTGTCAAGTTCAGATTTTTTCTGAAATTAATATCATTTAGCATGAAAAATCAAACCTCTTTTAGGTGCTTACTTCACAGTTTTTGCCTTCTTTTTAAAACTGATTGAAACTTCTCACAGTAATAGTACATATCAATTGTGATAAACTGTGAGAGAAACCTTCAAAAATGCTGGGGTAGGAGTCCTTTTAGTAGCTTCATACCTCTGAAACATGTGGAAGCTCTAGTAAGATAGACCCTCTGTCTCAATCAGGTAACTTATGATTGATAGGTAGTTTAGTGTTAACAGCTGCGTTGAAAATACAAATTGGCCACTGTAAATATAGTAAGAAAGCTGACATTTCAAATGTTCACCCTTTGTCAGAGTTATTGACTCTTCTTAACCCCTAAACTCACAGAAATGATTGATAGTTATTTTCTCCTTGTAATATCCATACATCATCCTGCAAACAAGTAACAAGAATACTTAAACTTATCAGATGAAAGTTGTTATCTTGATCTAACACCAAATACTCATAATTAATTTACAAGGACATGTATAGCAGCTAGAGGAAAGAATTAACAATCGAAACCTTGGAGTATAAGAGTCAATTATCAGTTTGGGCATCCTTTTTTTTGGTTGCCTAAAGGTGAAGAAGGGGGTAACACAACCTCCAGATGTACAAGTTGTCTTACATTCTCATATCTTTTCAGCTTCATTGGCATTTATTGTGCGAGTGCTGGTTTTGGTCGCTCTGAACTTTGTTGTGAACAACTTTGGAAAAGGACTGAAAGAGATTGGTAAGTATGGTAGCATGAGACCTGTTTTTTGCAATGAAGGCCTAGTTCAAACGTCGATCTTTACATGTACCGAACCTAACGTTTCTATTAAGTACATGTAAAGATCGACGTTTGAATCAATTATGATCGGCAGATTTGTATAGACGTTTGAATCAACTGCCGCTCTTAATTATTCGAGTCGACCCAAATTGCAATTAGGTTCGGTACATGTAAAGATCGACGTTTGAACTAGGCCGAAGTGTTAACCTTTTTCAGGCTTGGCTGCTTGTGACTCAGAGCACCAATGCGAGCCCGCTTGCTTGGTCTATGAGTGTGAGATGCGGTGTAGGCTTATAACAGTCACAGCACTGGACTGCAGGTTGAGAGGTCCAAGTTTGAGACCTGGCACAGTCAAAGTGTTGTGTTCTTGGGCAGAACATTTTCCTCTCACAGTGCCTCTCTGTTCCCAGGAGTATAAATGGGTAACAGAAAATTGTCAGGGAAGCCTGATGAATTACTGGCAAGTGACCTTGTAATGGACTGGCATTCCTCCCAGGGGGAAGTAGTAACACTTCTAGTTGGTTCATGCCAATGAAATCTGGTTAAGCTCTGGCTAGGAAAAAATTACTTATCTATGTTTTTTTGTTATTAATTTAGTGTTTAACCTGCCAGTGACAGGAGATGAGTCTCCAATGTTTCCAAGAAAAAGAAAGACAGCAAAGTGTTGTGGAATAGTTTTCTGTGGGCCATTTGGATGAGAAACTAAGATGGGAATTCCTTGCAAAGGACAAGAAAACTTCATTTAACCCTTTAACTCACATGAGTGACCAAAACAGAATTTCTCCTTACAATATCAATACAATATCAACCAGATAAGTGATGAGAATAAAGGAAAATATCAATTTAAGGATAATTAGTTGATATAATACTAAATTCTCTGAACTAACCCCATAAGAATTGTATGGTTGACTGTAAGGAGAATGACAAATTTGATCTGGGAGTTAAAGGGCTAATTAGTATTAATAATAGAGATGTAGCTTGTAAACTCATGGAATGTAATTTAAATTTTACCCTGCAAGCCTTAAGCTTGTATCACCCATGCTTGTGACAAGACAAAAAAAATCTCTCTATTTCTTAATCAATCTCAAAACTGACCATCTCTCTTATTCCATTTACAAACATTACAATATCAACATTGCTTATCCTAGCAGTATGCAGGACATGTGTCTATTACTTCTTAACAGGCCTCAATCATCATAGTCTCTGTGGCTCGGTGGTAGAGCATCAGAATGTGGAATCTGAAGGTCTGAGGTTCAATTCCTCATGGGGACTCAGATTCTTGTCGTGACAAGATGAAAAAACATCTTTCTCTATTTCTTACTAAGCTCAAAACTTACCATCTCTCTTATACTATTTACGAGCCTTAAGCTGTGAAAGTATAAAAAAAACCAACTTGTCAGAGTAGGGTTCACTTTGTGTAGAGTTATGAAAATTTAACATTTTTTATTCAAAACCTTTGTCCAATTGGATTGGTGGTTAATACTCTTGAAATTCAACTTTAGATGGTACTCAGTATTCATATACCACTGATCATATATCCTATTTAACAGTATTAATTAGTTGATTAGAAGGAATTCAATCTTAGTTACCCCTCGAGTTTCTGTTTTGGTAATTAAGTTCAGCTCCCAGCATGTAGAGCTTTTTAATGCTCAATCATTCTAAACTGATCATGCTTGTAATGCAAAGGTATTAAAATACCAACTAGTCAGAGTAGAGTACACTTTGTGTAGAGTTATGAAAATTTAACTTTTTTCATTCAAGACCTTTGTCAAATTGGATAGGTGATTAATACTGTTGAAATTCAACTTTAGATGGTACTCAGTATTCATATATGTCACTAATCATACATCCTATTTAACAGTATTAATTAGTTGATTAGAAGGAATTTAATCCTAGTCATCCCTTGAGTTTCTGTTTTGGTAATTAAGTTCAGCTTCCAGCATGTAGAGCTTTTTAATGCTCAATCATTCTAAACTGATCATGCTTGTAATGCAAAGGTATTAAAATACCAACTAGTCAGAGTAGAGTACACTTTGTGTAGAGTTATGAAAATTTAACTTTTTTCATTCAAGACCTTTGTCAAATTGGATAGGTGATTAATACTGTTGAAATTCAACTTTAGATGGTACTCAGTATTCATATATGTCACTAATCATACATCCTATTTAACAGTATTAATTAGTTGATTAGAAGGAATTTAATCCTAGTCATCCCTTGAGTTTCTGTTTTGGTAATTAAGTTCAGCTTCCAGCATGTAGAGCTTTTTAATGCTCAATCATTCTAAACTGATCATGCTTGTAATGCAAAGGTATTAAAATACCAACTAGTCAGAGTAGAGTACACTTTGTGTAGAGTTATGAAAATTTAACTTTTTTCATTCAAGACCTTTGTCAAATTGGATAGGTGGTTAATACTGTTGAAATTCAACTTTAGATGGTACTCAGTATTCATATGTCACTGATCATATATCCTATTTAACAGTATTAATTAGTTGATTAGAAGGAATTTAATCCTAGTTATCCCTCGAGTTTCTGTTTTGGTAATTAAGTTCAGCTCCCAGCATGTAGAGCTTTTTAATGCTCAATCATTAAATTTATCATGCATGTAATGCAAAGGTATGAAAATACCAACTACAGAGTAGAGTACACTTTGTGTAGAGTTATGAAAATTTAACTTTTTTATCCAAAACCTTTGTCAAATTGGATAGGTGATTAATACTGTTGAAATTCAACTTTAGATGGTACTTGGTATTCATATACCACTGATCGTGTACCTTATTTTATAGTATTAGTTGATTATAAGGAATTTAATCCTAGTTACCTCTTGGGTTTCTTTAGCATGTAAATTTTTGTTAAGGTACAATTATCCAAAATTTGTCATACAGTATCTAATATTGACAATAAATTATTTCAAGCAGGGGTAACATTTGTACATTTACACATTTACAGGACTTAACCCATCACTTACAGAAAGCCAATGGTGTATATTCTACTGAGAAGATTCTTGGTAATTTCCTTCAATAAGTCTCTTCATTTTGGGCTTCTTCATGAATAATGCTTAACTTTTTTTTCTTGAATAATGATCAGTTTGATTTCAGCTTTGAAATTTTCAGAAGAATTCCTTTTGTTTTAATAATTTCTGTATCAACCTCTGCATATAGAAAAAAGAGGAGACTTGATGTGTAAAGTACATTTCTAGAAATCATAAACACTTTATTCAAATTGTAATTTTTTATAGATCATTTGATTGTAGGTTTAAATATTTTGTACTTTAATTACAGTTGAGTTTTAATTCATACTAAAGTGTCTTTAATGATCAGGTGATGTTGCATTTGCTGATAATTAATGCTTCACAGTTATAAGAATAAATGTTAAAATATCATAGGTAACTAAGTTCTTAAAAGGACCTTGCTATATTTACAATTGGTGTATACTTGTAGAAATGATGACAATATAGCGTTGTATTGACTTATAAATATTTTAAATGAAACAAGTCCTGCCATTTTTTTTCAGTAGGGTGATGTGTTTATTTACCCCTTGTGTTTTCAAGTAAAATAAATTTTGCCATAGAAATGGTGATAAAAAGAAAGATTGTGATTTTAATAGAGAAGTTGAAAGGTGAAGGTTATTTTTTTTACTTTAGAGTAATGTTTGTTTTTTTAATGAAGACTGCTAGAGGTTATCATCTCTTATACTTTAGCACTTTTTTTATTACGAGGTAGGAGATTATTTTAATATCATCTTTTCCCTCATAAAAACTTAGCAGACTGCCCCACTTCCCTCCCAGTCTGGCCCAATGACAAGAAACAGGTGCAAAGTTGGGCCCTTACTTGGTGTACAAGACACAGTATACGTCACAATAGAATTTCATCACAACCGGGAATAAGAAAACAATGAAAACAATAGTGTGACGTATACTGTGTCTTCTACACCAACTAAGTGCCGAAGTTGTGGCAACCGGTTTACTTGGGTAGTCACGTAGTATTTAATGGCGTGACGAGTGAGTCTTTCGGGGTCTGGGAAGTTTTCTGGGGCCTGGGTGCTAGGAAGCGGGGAGTTTGAAATTTTGCTGCTTGACTTTGTGAAGTATACTCGCATCCGTTAAATACGATTTGTCAAGCAAGAGAGCTCACGATCAATCATGGCTACGCAGAACTGTGCTAATACTAGCGGAGTATTGTGGGAGCGAGCCAAGCAACTACTGAAAAGGGATGATTATGAACGACTTAAAACTGCGATAAAAACGTTCTCTAAGACACGATCGGTGGAAGGACTGTGTTCGGATCTCTTCAAGATTGTCAATTCCCGCTCGAAGGTTGATATTCTTGTAGAAGTCAGGCGATGTCTTCCAGAGAATCTGAGGAATAGCTTTACCCGACATTGCAATGAGATACTCGAAGCCGATGTCAAACGAGAAGGAGACGATTTAAGAAAAAAGAGGAAAATAGAAGCGAAGGGAGGAGAAAACACTGCACCAAATTTTCAAGGAAGCCCAGCCAAGAAGACCAAGCCAGAAAAGGAAAAATCACGGAGATCCGGAGCAGTGGAGAGGATTTCACAAGGGCCTGTTTGCTCAAAAGAATCTGCTAGCTTGGGTAATGAAGCTCAAAAGGCTGTCTTACTCGATTCTGTTGACTCTGACAAAAAAAGCAAAATCGTCGTTCTTGAAAGGAAATCCTTGAGTCAGGGATTTGGTTTCAAGATTCGAGGTGGAACTTGTCATCACCCTTCAATAACCGTGGCTCAAGTGAGAAAACATTCACTCGCTGACAGGCACGGATTGAAAACAGGCGATAAGATTATTCGAGTTAATAACCAGCGTTGTGGAAGAAGAAATCTTGTGGACGTAGCCCAAGTGATTGCAAATTTAATCAAGGCATCGAAGACACTTCATATGACGATCATTTCTGCTGAGGATGTCCCCGAAAAAGAATGCAAAATTCGCGACAAAGCTGAAACAGCTGTTAGAGTAGAGGAGAAAAGATTCTCAACAATTTCAGTTCATTCCAATGAAGATGGTTGGTTAGGCTGTTGTATAAGGGGGTAGGTATTCGATGTGGTTCTCAAAATGATAAGGATAACGGTGATGACCAAGCTTAATTTGCCTAGATGTGCAAACTGAAACATGAGATCTTGAACCTTTTGTATCCTAACCCACTTTCTATTTCTTATCCAATTTGGAGTTAATAAGCACATTTAAAATTTTCAAACACAACAACATTGTTGGGTGAGTACAATTTGTAGTCTTGAAAAATGTACAAGTGCTTATTAACACCAAAATTGGATAAGAAATCATGACTTATCAATAATTTACTTGAAAAAAGAATATCACAGAAAATTGAGACAGACACAATTTTGAAAGTGTGTATGCTATTTTTAGTTTGCACTTGTGTCATAACTTTGTGTTACATGACAAATGCACTAGTTTTCAGCTAATCAGATGCATAAAATTTTGTCATGTATATTATTACTGTGATAAATTTTACAAAATTCCCAGATGATCCTCACATAAATTTTCTATGATGGGAATCAGAATAATTTCCATGAGTGAGGCATTGTGTCACAGTTTTACCTAGACTGAGTTGAAAAAATATTCATTTGATAGGCCTTTCCCAACAATCAGGATCTTTTCTTAAAGCACACACTGTCCATACCAGAATGATCACAATGCATATAGCAAATGGTAAAACTATAGGTTACTGTACTGTGCACATGTGAGTTTTGGTCCCAATGCATGTGGTGCATGTGGCTTAAAATGGCTGACAGTCTATATACATGAGATCACATTGAGTTCTGCCTTACTCTGCAGAATGATCTCACATTTTCTTAAATAACTAATAAAGCTTTTTTTTTGTTTCTTAGTGGTACTGATTATGGTTGTGATGTGCATGTTATCTCTGTTGATAACCATTCTCCCGCACAGAGGGCTGGGTTAAAGACAGGAGATGTGATAACTAAGGTGAGCATTTTTATAAATTACTTTTTAACTGCCAACTCTATCCCAGGAACTGAACCAGAGTGAGATTATATTTTATAATAATTGTCCCTCCTAGCTGCTGTTTATGTCCTTCCAGATTAAGTATGAGAAAATTGGATATTAAATCATTACAATACCTCTATCAGAGTAGATAGTGAATTCCATCACTTGTTGGTGGATAATGTATTTGATACTGCAAGAGGAAGTTTCTCATAAATCACTTTTGAAAGATTACCAGTTGAAAGTCTTAGATTTCTGATTGTGTTACAGCTGGAAAAAACTTACCAGTGGTTATTGTGAAAAGCAAATTTTGAATCTGCATGTTGATCAGAATTTATTGTTTGTTTATCCTAGGTGAATGGAATCAGGACAAGGGACTTAACGCATGTTCAAGTGGTAAGACTTGTTATTTTGTCAGGTCCTTGTGTCAAATTTTCTGTGACGTCAGAAAGTAAACCAAGGAAGAGGTTAAGGCCAGAGATGGTCAGAGAGGAAGCTACCCCACTGCAAACCCAGTATCATGGATCCCATAACATGACTTCCCCAGGAAGCCCAACCTCCAGAGGGCTTCACCCTCCAGGTTATCAACAGAATCTCTGTGATGCAGTAATTGACTCTCCTTCACAACTTCCTATGGGTGTAATGAATCTAAATTGTATGCCACCTCCTCCCTACACCCCTGAGGTACCATTGAGACACAGGGTGTTAGCAAGGGGAGAGGAGGGAAACAAAGAAATTGATGGACAGGCACAACAGTGTATTGATTTCATACAAGAACCACAGATTACCCAGGACCAACAGGTACCCCTGGATATTCAACATCAACAAGAACCATTAGGAGTGCTTCAGCAACAAATACAAAATGCCTCTACCCAACAAGAGGAAGTGATTGACACCAATGAATCAAGCTTTAATGGAAACAAAGAAACTGTACCTCAAGAGAGTGGGATTATGGAAAATGATGATGCACCTGCACAAATTTTTATTCTGGAAGAACTTGACGTGCCATCAATGGAGAGAGAAGCTTTGATCAATGACTCTCAAGGAGAAATGTCAACAAGATTGGTGCCTCCTCTGCCACTGCCACCACCACCACTTGAGAGTGATGACGACTCTCCTTCTGCCAGCCCATCCTCAGTCCCAGGTAGTGGAAGAGAATCCTTTCTCAGCCAGATAAGGCAATTTGACAAAACAAGTTTGAAGAAACCAGATGTGAATCCTGAGGTTACTAATTGTAATCAGCTTCAAAGGATTTCCTTTAAAAGTAATCCTGGACTAGATGACATGAGGCAGATGACAAAGGAAAAAAAGAACAGTCCACAGGGTAATGGTGCTCTAGAGAAAGGAGACTCCATGGACTTACTATCTGCTCTTCGTCAAGCAATGAAACACAGAGCCAAAGTACTGCATGATACCTTAATGGATGAAGGCAATGAAAGTGATGATGATGATAATGACAACCTTGACAACACCAACAACGATAATGGTAGTGAAAATGAGTGGGAACTGTGAATTTAATTTTTATTTCTTATTTTTGCACAGTGTGTACATTTGCAGGAAAATCATTTCTGATGTTGTATGCTTGCAAAATCATTATGCTTTGAGAAGAAGGAAATAACACACCATGTGAAAAGTGATAATTTAATGTTCAGTGATTCAATGTATGATCTTTTGAAACAAGAGATCTACAGTGCCTCTTTTAAAATCATTCTAAATGTCAGTTGGTAACCAAATGAATATAAATGCATATGCCATCATTATAGCACACCTCTCTAAAAAATACAAAAATTTCAGGAGTAATATAGTGCATATCTCTAGACATATTTTAACCCAATGTACATTTTGATGACTAATAACATTTAGTAAAACTAACTTACTAAGTAGATCCCAGTGGTAAGAAGGGTGATTTGTGTTATCTACTGGAGTATATATCTATTTCGTGTACAATGCAGGTACCTTTTACTAACGCTCAGTGTATCTGCTGTATAGCAAATTATCGGTTCTCAATATACATTTTTATGACCTGTAACAGGTATTAGTAATACATTTAGTAACATTAAATTATTAAGCAGGTCCCAGTTGTCAGAAGGGTGATAAATGTTATCCATTGGATAAATCTCTCTCCAGTGTTCAGTGCAATGCTAACACTCACTGTATCTGCTGTGTAGCAAATTATCTGTTCAATAGCCTTATTCTGACCTTTCCAACAGCTGGGCCCACATGTGTTTGATACAGGGTTAACAGCTATGCTTAATTTCTCTACTTACAAATGACTTTCATGTACATGTTCAATAGTTTTCACTGTATTTTACTTCGAAAATAACGAAACTGTGCTTACCAAAAATGTGATTGGAATGATTGTGTTATTTTGTTTCAAAGAAATAACCAATTTGGATCAGGCATCCGAGTGCTAAGCTGATAAAAACAGCAGTAATTGATTAATATTCTTCCACATGAAAGTACCTTGATGTCTAAAAATAAACATGAAATATATCCAGACACATGATTATATATAGTGCCAATAATAATTTCTCAAAATAGAAATGTAATGTACTTTGTACTTTTTAATTTGCATGGGTTTTTTTTTTCTTTCTTTTTTTTTTTTCAATCTATGCATCCAAACAAACAACTTAACCCCTTTTTTGGGATAATTTGGAGTAGAATATGTATATTCAGACATGTGTTAAAAATAATTGTGACTAGTGAATGAAAAACATCTACATGACTTAGTTGGCAATGAAGGAGATTCTCATTCATTCTTTTTTTCTTTGAGTTTTGCATTTTTTTTTTTATGTTAATCTGTTTCATGATTTATTTGATCTTTCAAATCCATGTCTTTACTTAACCCTTTAACTCCCAGATCATGTTTGTAATTCTTCTTACTGTCAACCATACAATTCTTATACTGATAGTTCAGAGAATTTAGTATTGGATCAACTAATTGTCCCCAAATTGATATTTTCCTTTGTTCTCATCACTTTTCTGCTTGATATTGTATTGATATTGTAAGGAGAAATTCTGTCTTGGTCACTCATGGGAGTTAAAGGTTGAGACCTTCTTGTCCTGCTCTTCTGACTACACATCAGATTCTTTTTTGTGTGCTTTTTGGAATGCTTTAAAGCATTTTGAGCAACTTTTACTTTCTACCCAGTTTTGTAATATCTGTAAGATATCATGGCGTTGCATGTCATCAAGAATATTCATTATCCTTTCAACAGTGGCATTATTTCCTTCTCTTTCACTCCAAACACGCAGGAGACTATCAGTTGGTTGATTGTTTAGGAGATTAATCTCACCTCTTGTAAACCCAAGGTGCTCACCAAAAATACGATAGTCATTAAAGAAGGGAGATTCTTTATCCAAACTTTGACACATTGTAAAGTATATTTTCCCAGGAATATTGTGAATAATTTGTTCCTGTTTGTCTGTCTTGGATATCTTCACGCATTTGCAGCAGATAGAAATATCTTGGGCTTTGCTTGGCACTTCCACAGTAGGTGCCAAAGGCAGACTGTTTACTTCATTGTATCCATTCTGAGAATCAGATGGCATTTGTTGAGTTGAGCAATTGACTGGCCTCTCTTGGTCAGGGGAAGCATTAAATTTTGCATCATTCAGGGTGCTGCTTGCACCTTGGACCTCCTCACACAAATCAACACTCTGTACTCCATCTGCTAGAGAGCTATTTGAAAAAGAAATTTGTGCTTCACTTTGGGATGTGGTAAGGATTCCTTTCTCCTCCTCCACTGGCCATGTGTACCTTTCTTTAGGAGAAGGCGAATTCTTTTCTTGTAGCAGGCCCAAGGGTTCTTCAATTGATAACACTACAGTGATCTGAGCTTTCTGAAGCATGGTTTTCATCTCTTCAAAAGAGAGCCCTTTAACTGGTTGTCTGTTGACAGCTGTTATCTTGCATCCAGGGCTGAGATATGGACACTTGGCCGCTGGTGTTTCTCCAGCTGCAATTTGCTTTATTATTGGGCATGGTTGTTCTAGTTGATTCTGTGCAAAGAAATTGTGTACATCTGCTCTCAGCATATATGATAAGGGAAGGTACAGCCAGAGGGAATGGGGAAATACAGTCTGAAACATGATGCTAGACCCCCTTCTAGGGTTCCACCACTATCAGAAAACCTGATTTTCAGCTCCCCTCCTTCCCCCTGTGAATACTTTATTCTCTTTCCCTTTGTTGAAATGTGTTGGAGCAGGAGTAAAATGTGTGGACATGAAGATGTGAAGAAATGTTTCATCTGGCATTTTATAATGATTTGCTAAATCGGTTGTGATAAAATTAGACTGAAGTAGATGCATGTTTATATCATTATGAAATAAATGAATTGGTGATTATGGCCGGGAAAATGTTGATGTAGATGGAGAAAACACTGGAGAAGTATCAGAAAGATAGCATTTGATGTGGGATGATAGAAAAATTGGAGGAATAGATAGGAGGAAGCAGTAAAATTTGAAAATCGTGACAAAATTAGTTCAGGATGAAATGAGATGTACATATGAAGAAAATGCATCATCCAAATAATTTTACGGTGAAAATTGCAGGTTTAATTACCTTGGCAAATACAAACTTAAAACCGAGTGGCTCTTTTGAACTTTTCTTTTGTAACTCAGCTTGAAGTGGTCTCCAGTCTAAAATTGCTGGTGAGTCAATTGCAAGGCTGGTAAGGTGATCTTAAAAGGATAATGAGAACACCGTATTATTAAATGTTGAAGTAATAACTATGATATGGCTCCTAACTGGCTTACTGCCCAGGAGGAATAGAATACCATTCCTTTAAAAAAATGTGCTTGCAACAGTTAAATGACCTGTGGATGAAATAAATATGAATAACTGACCCTAATTGCTGGCCACAAACTACAACTAAAAGGAAGTTTGAACAATTCCAGGCATCCATGTGATTTGCAACTGTGCCAGACTATACTTCAAGATATGTTTGCAGTTGAGTGAAAGTCCATTTTTCTGTAATGAAGTTCCTGAATTTTTTGGTTTGTCTTCAGCAGAATGAACAGGTTTGTGAACTTCATCAATATTTTCAGGTTATAGGAAACAGGAAGTGGGTTTAAACTCAATGCTTCAGGAAATTCTACATTTCCATGAAAGTATTTAATCAATATATGGAACATTAATTTTTGCAAAAGGGAAACATACCATTCTGTCTCCATTGCCTCCGTTGAATAGTTACTTTGATCTGCTTTTGAAGGTTCAGTTGGTGGACAATTTTCTGTAGTCCTTCATATGTTTCATTCTCAAGTTTACGTTCATTGATGGAAATGACAATGTCTCCATGTTTCAATTTTTTGTGGTCGAAGTCTGGTAGCTTGATGTTGTTCACCAATGCATATGTTTTTTTACTATCCTGGAAGTCCTGAAAAATATTCAACAAACACATTAGCCACTCCAATTCTGGGAATCTAAATACCATCTCTTTGCAATAAACTGAGGATTAGAGTTGAGTGTGTGTGCATGTGTTGAGGAGGGGGGGGGGGGGGGGGAGGTGAATATCTTTTCACTTGCACAATTTCCTGTTTTGCTTACTTAAGACCCTTTCTTTCTAAACCGTTTCTCCCATCAGTATCACCCCTAAAACCAATAATGAGGTTATGAGAATAAAGGAAATGATCATCAACAAAAGAAGCTCTTGATTGTTAGGCAAATTCTCTTTGTCAGTACCATAGGAAATATGTAGAGAACAGTATAGAGGAAATGTATACTGATGATAGGACGTAAAGGGTTAAGTTGGGTAATGTGAAAGGAAGAATAACTAATACCTCTATTGGGCTTATGCTTGTTGTCAAGGAAAATAAATTGATGCAATAAGGTTAATTTATGTCAAATAAATGTGGATATTTTGATGTGGGACATAGAGACAGGGCATCAGACCTTTATAATCTTATAAATTTGTATGTGAGTGTCTTTTAAGAAAAAGTCTCACAAAAGTTTCAAACATTTTTTTTAAGGTATGAGTTAAACTTTGAAAAATTTAAGGAGAGGTTAGCTAGGATTCTTGAGTGAATCCAGAGAGATTAAAAAAAAGGGAGGGAGGGAGGGAACAAACATTGAGCTCAATATCATTACAGACAAAAAAACAAAATATTTAAAATCACCGAGAAGAAGCTTGTGTGGCCTCTCCAAATTCAGCATGAACTGGATGTGGTACTTACAGGATAAAAAATGTTGAGAGAAAATGCAGCTGAGAATGGAAGCCTCTTGACTCTGACTTTAATATCAATTGCAACTTGGTTTGGGTCCCAGAGATAAAACTCTTGTTGTTCTAATGGCTTTCTTATAGTAACACTCAGAACACTTTGGCAATTTTTCAACTTTTCCAAAAAGGATGTGTCGTTGCTAATAGTGCTTGAACCATTGATGGATGTTATCCAGTCTCCAGGTTCCAAGATGTTAACTGCATTGCTGTTGTTTTCTATTTCTTTCACAATCCAGTACAGGTAAGCTGGATCCCTGTCTGCATCCTATAAATAAAGAGGAAACATGTGCTAAGGTTGAACAAGAGTGCTGTAATTCTACTAATAATGTACATAAAAAAATTATGCATGCCTGATTGGCTGAAAAAGAGTACATTTTTCATGTAACACAAATGCAAATTTGTAACGTGAGTGCAAAGTTTTAGCAATGGTGCAAAGTTGTAGCACAAGTGCAAATTGCAAATAACACACTGCTAAAATTTTGTCTCAACTTACTCTGATGTGTTTTTCATGTAAATTATTAACAGGTAACAAAATGATTTCTCATGCAATTTGATGTAAATAAGGACTTCTAATTTTTCAAGTGCATGTGCAATTTGATGTTTTGAAAAATTTACAAATGCTTATTAACACAAAATTACTTGAGAATAATGTCATACCTTATCAATAATTTACATGAAAAAAGCATCACAGATAGTTGAGACAGGCACAATTTTGACAGTGCAAACCTATTTTTAATTTGCATTCATGTTACAACTTTGTGTTACATGACAAATACAGTAATTTCCAACCAATCAGAAACATGTGATCGTTTCATTTATAGTCTTATTTTGATAAATTTTACAAATTCCCAGATGTGCCTTGCATGTTAGATCATGATAACAACTACTTGATAAAATTGATCGTTCTAATTACCTATTTGCTGGATAATGTAGTGTGGATATCATAAATTAACTCAGGGAATTAATTCAGTCTTGTCAGTCAGAATTTCATAATTAATTTAAAGATGACTCGTTGTCAACGCGAAATCTAAATTTCGCGGAGATTGGAATTCTAATCAGGATACATTAGTTGAAAAGCGCGGAAATAACATTTTTGAAGTGGCGCCCTTTCTTATTACCTTCAGGAAAGCAAAAGAAATCTATATTTCACCATGAAAGAAATATAACCACGAAGATTGCACTATTTGATAACCACATTCGCTATGTTGCAATATGACCATCCTGCCTACTTGCGCTTTTTTCGTTTACAAATAAATATAGCAATCCGATGTGCTCGTGAAATAGAATTTATTTATAGTATGGAGAAGTAAATTCCGGAAGCCCATTTAATTTGCCGGAACAACTTTGTGTTTCGATAAAAATGCTTTGAACTGACTCGCTCAAGATCAAAGGATTAAATATGCTCCTTTGAAAAAAACAAAAACAACGAAAAAACGAATAAATCGGAAGGAAAGCCTATCATGTAAACTTTATTGAGGCGAGATGGATGCATTCTAGTGAAACCAAATATGGAACGGTTTGGCGGGTTCAAAAGAAGTAACCCTCCCCTATCTCAGATTAGGATTTATTTCGGAAGTGATGCAAGCATCTTTTTTAGAAAAAGCTGGCAGGCCTTGTGTTGCCATCAGATTCCTGGCAATTACAATATAAAAGTGCGCGATCGGTAGGTCTTTAATAATCATCTAAAGAAGATTTACGAAAAGAAAAATTAACTATCTACTTGGAAACAATTCAACAATTCGGTTGTCTGCGTAGAGAGACTTACCGCTTTCACTGAAATTGAACAACCCAAGGGACTATTCCCTTTTGTAGGGTACATCTCGCGTGTCATTTTTGGGCCATACGTTGTAAGATCGGGCCAGTACAGGGAATTGTGTATGCGAGCTAAACTTGTTTGTTCCATGTTTGACGTTAAAATATTCAGTAGAATTTTGTTTGCTGACAGGAATGTGCTTCGCTGTTTGCAGAATTCTGTTACAGACCAGTGACTCGCGCGATGATTGGTAAATTTAAACTCGTGATCGCCGCATGCTTCACTTTTAGTTCATGCGCCTTTAAAGTAACAAACTGTCCTGCTGGGAGTACCAAAGGCATGTAAACATATTAATGTAACCTCGATCGCAAACTTCTCCAATGTTCAGAATAACTTTCTTAGGACGTGTTACTTTGATGATTTTGTCTTTGCTCCATTTACTGTGACTGCAAAGCAATATCTAGGGGTTCAACCGAACGCCTGTTGTTTGGAATCGTCACGCAACATCCTTTCTGGAGCGGAAGGGGAATCCCCGCACTTAAATACTTTTGAATGTAAATAAGTCCTTAACTCGCATTATGCGCTTCGAATATTTCAATAAATAAATATTTTTCGAACCCTATAGGTAGCATACAGAACTACCTTCGGTACATTTAATTTACTTTCCCCGACGGAAAAAGAGAAAAAAAATCCCGCAGCTACCCCTCCCTCTCCTCCCACACGCCCACGTTCCTCCACAGGCCCCCCAACCACGTTGGTTGTGCAACAGTGTTAGTGTTAGCTGTCTATGGACGCCTTTAGATGGGATAGAGAGAAAGAAATATCTCTTTTCAAAAGACAAATATTCCTTTTTTAAAATTTTTTGGTTGAGATACATTCAAATATGTAAAATTTCAAACTTTATCCAAGATTTCTATGGTTAACAATAAAGGTAGGGTGGAGATCTGTGGTTCATTTTCTATCGGCCATTTTCAGTGGAAATGCTCGTTTCGTGGAGAGATATTGAACAAGCCAGGGATACTATCAAGGGGTGTGGTGTGGTTGTCAGGACACCTTTACTCCGAAATGTGGAACAGATGTTTGGTTTTGATGACCAATTCAAACTGCATTTGAAAATGGAGAACATGCAGAATACCGGTACGGTTAAAGAATTAGAAGGAAGGGGCGATTAATTATCGGGTTCGGGGACGATTTTCCTACGGTATTTCGGTTGTCTTTTACAGACGCCTCATAGGGGTTTCCTTAGACCCTGTTTTGTGGTAATCAATATCCTTTTCGATTTCCTTGTTTGTGTGCATTGTAATGTTTACTTAATTTGTTACAGGATCATTTAAAATACGCGGTGTTGTGAACCAGTTTGCCAACATCCCCTCTGTGATCACCGAGAATAAGAAAAGTCTTGTTTCGATGTCTGCTGGAAATTATGGAAAAGCATTTGCTTTGGCGACAAAGGAACAAAACCTTCCAGCAACTCTGTGTATGCCTGAAACTGCTCCCATTAATAGAGCAAAACTTATTGAGGTACAAATTTAACCCTTTAACTCACAAAAGTGATTAACTTGTAACTTCTCCCTACAACCAAACAGGTAATGAGATTACTCAAACTTATCAGGTACCATAATTATACTAAAAACAACTGTTCACCTCAGTGTCGGCGCAGGCCACTGGTGGATATTTACCTTGCTACTTTGCAGCTTGGTAAATATCCAGTTATTAACACCTTTACTTTGATGATATCCACTGGTGGATATTTACCTTGCTACTTTGCAGCTTGGTAAATATCCAGTTATTAACACCTTTACTTTGATGAACAGTTGTTAAATATTGCAGATATATACAAAAAAGCAAGGAAAACCTACTGAAGGTAAATTTTTCATGCTGATTTACAGAGTTTCGGTGTGAAAGTGGAAAGAATACCCACAAGTGAAATACAAGATGCTGTTGATCTTCATGTTGCTGAAGATGGAATGCACTTTCTTCATCCATTTGATGATCTTCATCTTATTTCTGGTTTTGCCAGGTATCATCTGTTTTCCAAACAATAACTTAGGTGTGACCGTAATGATGATGATATTGATGGTACATTTATATTTAGCACATTCTCCATATTAACCCTTTACACCCTAAGATCAATATTCATGTTCTCTATACTGTTCTCTATACATTTCCTTAGGTGCTTACAAGGAGAATTTGTATAACAATCAAGAGCTTCTTTAATTGGTGATCATTTACTTTATTCTCATGTCCTTTATGTTTGATCCAGGGGTGATTTGTAAGGAGAAATTGGCCATTTCTGAATTACCTCTGGCCTCTTTTTCAAAACAAGGCCTGGTGCTCAACCACTTGTATGAAAATGAGTTTAAATTGCATATGAATTTAACTTATTATCATATGAAAGGATGAGCACCAGGACTTGCTTTGAAAAAGAAGCCAAAGATAATTTGGAAATGGCCCATTAGATACAAGTCACTCTGAGGGATCAAAGGGTTAAAATGCTCCAATGTATTTCACAACACTTTACATAGGACTTTTGCTAGACTACACTGAGCCCCTGTATGAAGATCTTCAAAACTAGTAGCATTACAGTGATTTTAAAGGAGCTAAGGCAGGGCTAAAAATTGACGGTCGCATGGTTGCCAGTCACATGGTTGCCAGTCGCATGGTTGCCAGTGGTGAGTTAAAACTGACAAGGGTGACCAAAAGTTAAGGTTTGAACACCCAATGTGCAACTATGCTACAGAATTTCAAAAAGTTGCAATGTAAATTATGCAAAGTACAAAGTTAAAAATAAAACTCAATATGTAGTTTAATTGGACTACCTTTCTCTTCATTTCTTTGCCTGGACTCTAAGATCACCCATTTTAGCGAACTTTTTAGTTCTGAAATGGAAATTCTGAGCTGTTTTAACAATGATTTCACGAGCTTGTTCTTTCCTTTTAGTTAACGCTCCGTTAAAAGCCATGGGGTGTTTATTCAAGTTTTTCATTTTAAACTAGAGGAAATCAAGGGCTGCTTCATTTTGGGATGGGCCACTAAGAATTCAAGGAAACTGGCCCGACTGGCCACCAAGCACTGGAGTTAATTTTTAGCCCTGGCTAAGGTTCCTTTTTACATTTCATACCCTATTACTGAGGCCTATAGTTAATTTGCACTTTATACACAAAAAACTATTTAGCGTAGCTCTTGAGATCCTGGAGGACATTCCAGAACCTGATGTAGTGGTTGTTTGTTGTGGGGGTGGAGGTCTCCTCTCAGGGGTTGCAGCAGGCATCAAGCTCAAAGGAAAGAAGAAGACCAGGATTTTTGGAGTGGAGCCTGAAGGAGGTGAATGTTTTGTGATGATCAAATATATCTTGATTGTGGTCTATTTTAACATTTTTGTAGCCTGCAGAGCAGGCGTAAATTAGAGAGCAAGTGCTCAGTAATTTCTTGGTGAAAATTATATCTGCTATCTTTGATCTTTATGGCAAGGGGGTGAGGGACAGTCAAAAGAAAGGAGGGGGGAAGGGATGGGGCATTGGAAATTCACTAACCTTTCCCTATCCCCTTCCCCCACCATCCATTCTAACTCTCCATCAAACATGGCTGATTAAATAAATAAGCGTGAGCTTATAACATTAACTTACCCTAATAAGACACCTGCTTTGCAGACTGACATTTTTATTTTTCATTATAGTTTGTTTGTTTGTTTGTTTGTGTTTTGCAGCTCCAACAATGTATCTGAGTAAACAGCAGGGTCATGCTGTCAGTGTGAAATCTGTTAACACTATTGCTGCTGGACTAGCCCCACCCTATGCTGGTGAGAAAGAGTTGTAAGAGGGTTGTAAAGGTGGGGGGGGGGGGGGGGGGTGGGGTCCTGATTTTGTATGGCACAAACTTGAGAAAAATTCATTCATCACTTCTCCTTTACATAGCATTTTATGTGCCACAAATTTAAAAGGGAAAACTTCAAATCTCTCTTCTTGTGAATGAGGTTTCAGGGAAATCTTGAAGTTGTCACAACATGAAAGGATGCCTCATCTCTCTTGCTGGTTCATAAAGTCACAAATCACCCTCCCCTTTCTGTAAAATTCAGGTATCACACAAAACCCCTTGCCACCCTCTTGTAAAATGGAAGAACTATTGGCAGTTGTTGCATGTTTTGGTTGTTCACATATGGTGGTAATCTTAGAGAGGTCAATATTATTTCATTTAAATGATATAATATCATTTATTACTAACAATAACTATGAACATATTGATACTTTCTGCAGGAAAGAAAACTTTTCAACATGTGAAGGAGTATGTTGAGGACATTGTTCTTGTGACAGATGAGGAAATAAAGAGGTTGGCTAATTTGTCTGTGTAGCGAGTATTTGTCTGTTGTGAGTATTGGTCCTTCGTCTTTCACTCTGATGAAGGGTTAACACTCAAACCATCAGCTTTGTAACTCTTTATGGTGGCCAATTTACGTTATCAACTCAGTTGATAGGACTAAATTACTAAGGGTATTATTACCGGTGGTTGATTCAATTTAAATTCTCGAAACTAACTTCTTAAGAGTTGTATGGAGGATGGTGAGGAGCATTACTAATGAGATCTTTGGATTAAAAGGGTTAAATTTTTCTCTTCCAGTAGGGACCAAAAGTATTCATTCCTTTTTGGGGACAAGATGTGCTGACTTGTTTTGTCTGTTTTGATCCTTTTACAGGGCAGTGAAGACTTTTTACCAGGCTGGGTTAGTTGTTGAACCATCTGGTGCTGCAGCATTTGCAGCTCTACAAGCAAACAAAATTCCTGATTTGTCAGAAGGGAGTAATGTTGTTGCTATAGTGACAGGAGGAAATGTCACACCAGAAGAACTATGTGATTTGATGAATTGTAATTAGCAAAAATAGTTTACCTATTGAATCTTTGTAACCCTTTACAACCTAACATCAGTATGCATATTCTCTATACTGTTCATGCCTCTAACAAGCCAAACAAAATTTTTTGAAGGGATTGCATTCCCGAAGTTATGACAATAACCTGTTACTTGATTTTGGTTTATCCTGACTCATGACTCTAGCCTGAAGCCTGAATCAGTCGTGCTTCTGTCATGCTACAGTCAAAGCTAATTGTGATTGACTCAGGTACAGCATAAGCACAGCATCTGAACTGGGCTTTCATCAGGAAAGTAACCCTGATATATTATCATTGTTGTTTGGGTTTGTTGGCTTCTGCTTCACTCTGTCATTAGCAAATAAACCATTTGGCAACAATTTTTTACATTCGTGACAAATGTTATTCTTTTATTCAGTTTAAAATGCTTCTGAAATATATTTACAATAGGGAATCTGCTGTAATCAGTTTAATTTAAACTTGATCAATTAGGTGCAATTCTCTGAAACACAAAGTGTGATTCTAATAGAATATTTAGACAATAAGAATGGTTGTATTTGTCTATAATGTGGCCAAACCTAGACTTGCAGAAGTTCATGTGATAGCATACGGTAAGCCTTCTATTTATAAATTGACTATAAGTTTTAACTAGAGGCATATTAGGTACCTAGTTAATTATGGCCTAGCAACATTGATAGTGTCCTTGAGGCTGGCACCTCTAAGTGAGTTGAATATTTGTAAAATATTTTGTAAATAAGTTCAAGAGCAGAAATGAGACACAGTGTGATTTTATTCTATAGTGTGCATTGTAGGAGATCAAGGATCAATGTCAGTATCTGAGCAACAGCACACTTAACCCTCCCCTAACCCAACAACAGTCAACTGATATCAAGTAAGGGTTAATTTGGGTAGGTGGAGGGGCAAGTTTGCAGTTGCTCAGATACTGACATCAATTGCCCCTGAGTTTAACAGCTTATATATAAAATCATCCACTATCTGCAACTTGTTCATACATCCATAGCTTTTTGATAATTTGAGAAGCAATGCCAGATGTTTACATTGAAGTTTCATGTTGAACCTTATAAAAGTAATAATCATTTTAGTTTCAGTAATTTAGCCACCTTCCAAAACTTGTGAATATCACATGGAAACATCTGAAACAGTTATTTACGACATTGTAAAAGTTGATTAGGAGATAAAAAATAAAAAAATAAAAACATTACATTTATTTTACGCTTAGTCTTTGTAAAATTGTTTTCTGGTATTGCTGCATATGTATGGAGGAATTTGATTTCTTTTAGCGTCTTTCAAAGCAGCTAAATTCGGTGGCCTTGTCACGCAAGCTTTCTTCTGTAACATGATTGCGTTCAATCAAGTCAATTCCAACAATCTTAGTTGCTGTCCAAGAATCTGAGCTTAGCTTTCAAAATCCTTATCTCAATCTTCCGTAAAATTCCTTAGTTAACGCTGCTCTTGTCAGCTGCTCTAAGATGTGGTCAGTAAAGCGAGGATGCACAATTTTAAGCTTCCCTTCGCATGCAATGAAAGCCACAGCTGTTCTCACTCTTGTTAAAGGTAGTCCTTCCAAATTGATTCTGAAATGATGATAAAAATGCTTCTTCAATGCTTCTAGAAACATCACGGATTCTTCTTCAGTAAAAATAGACGAGTCGCTCATGTGGACAATGTCCCAGAGTTGTTTGGCATCCTTCCCTTCGATGCTGTAAAGGATTCTTCGAAGACCTGCCACGGAAGATGCATCATAGCAAAGTTCGATTGTCGGAGATCTCTCGGGCGAAGACATGCCAGCCCATAGCGAGAAATACCAACCGAGTTCGACTGATGAAAAAGTCATTGGAGTAATTCTACAATCAAACTGGCTTTGACACCAACTGATCAAATTTTTAGAGATATTAACAGGCCCGTTGATGAGGCATATAGGTAGACAGGTAAAGTGTTCTTGAAGTCTTGCGTCCTCCTCTTCCTCGCTTCCCACAGAGCAAAACAGAGTTGTCAAAATCGGAACAAGCGGTTCTACTTCCCCCACAGGCTGTAGCCGTAGACTGTCAGTACTGCAGACGATTATTTTCACAGCTGAAAATTTTGAGCCTTCAGCTGAAATATCTTTATGAACAGAGAATTGCACTTTGAATTTTCTTTCTTCGACATTTCCATCTTCATCAACTAAAAGTTGTTTTTCTGTTTCCAATTGTAGAAAAGCTGACAGCTGATTCCCATAGGTTTCAAGAGAACTCTTGTTCTTCTGATCAAAGTTGTGAAGTGGCGAAGCCTGATGAACCCGCAGTGTTTTACCTACAATTTCTCGAACTGGATCTCTTATCTGTTCAACAACGTGCGCATTGCTTGGTAGTAAATTAGGTGATCCACTGGAATCCTTAAGAGTTGATGTTCTTCTTTCGATTTCGGTCGATGCAGTTTTCGATCGAAGGTTTTCTGTCAATCCGCCGTCACCGTCTGGATGGCTTCGGGAAGCACGGCCCGTTTTTGGTGTTTTCACGTATGGTGTATGCCTTCTTGAAAGCCAAGGAGATCGAGCAGACTTGGAATTTCTGTTCCTAGCACTAAGAGGAGTAAATTTTCCCACCCTTGTAGAACTTGTAGCGGATGTTGAAGGTGTTGTCAAAGCTTCCTCCATTTTGTGAACGGTTTTCAAATTTGCGCGCTCGTTCGTTTGCATGGTTACCAAGCATAGAAGGAGCGGTTGCTACTACGTCTGACCCGAAATCGAGGTAGTTCTGCCACGTTGAGAAACGAGAGTGGACAGAAATGGTGAGACATAAATTGTTTTGGCATTTTCCTGCATTTAATTGCTTTTAGGAACCATTTATAGAACTGGTAACCTGTTGTTTGAATGTGGTGTTCTTCTTCTTCATCATGAAGGTGTCTGTGCTTAATACAGTGGATACCTCGCACGAGGATATGATCGTGAGTAGATCATGGAAGTCTCAGAATTTCCCAGAAACGAGTGTGATTATTTTAAAATTGACGACTGATTCGGGAAGTTGATACTACAAATGATAAATAATGAACCAAAGGACATGTGGGGCAGTAATACTGACTTGTAAGCGGCTTTTAGCAGCGTCGAACATCTTTCATAACTCTAAAATACAAGGATTTTTTTCAAAGGAAGTTTTGATCCACTATGCTAGCTAGCTAGTTAAATGTTAAACTGACTTAAACAGAAATGTGAGAAGTACAAAAATGACCTTTATGTTCGGATTTAACGTTTGAATATCGCAAACATAAATTAATTATAATAAAACCATCGTTGAGTCCTAAAGCATAATTTTCTCAACTCTGCTAGCTAACCATGGTTTTTGCAAAACAATTTGCAGATCACCTCTCACATTGTCTTTGTTTATGATTTGTTTAGCATGATGCACAAATGGATTATTATGGCAAGAAGCTGGCGACATGTTCATCTGACCGAACAGTAAGAATTTTTGAGATCAGTGAAAAGAATCAAACTCTTGTTGCTACTCTGAGAGGGTAAGTGTGAGATTTAGTTAGCCTGTATCTCTGACTATGCTAGTCAAGGCTGTTAATGAATTTGACAGTAGTTGGAAAGTAAGAAGTAGAGGGTGGCCATGTTATCATGGAGGCCATGTTGTTTCATCAGAGTAAAGTACATGCAAGACTCGGAAGAATTCAGTTGAAATTTTTCAGGCATTCTGCAGAGCACATACAAACCTTCAAGCAAATCCTAATGTGGAATGAATTGACACATTTGAACCTGTTTCTGGTAAATTTTACACTCAGTTCACTTGAATGGGTAAACTGTGTTATGGTTGACTTGCTGGTAGTTTTGGCCTGCTACTAGCTCATGTTGACAACCTTACCAAAGAGCGATCTTTCACAAAGTTTGATTAGGAAAAGCAACACAACAATGTTTTGAACCTTTGTTCCCTTATTAAGTGTTTTTTGTCTGAATAGACTAACCCTCCTTGATACAGGGTTGTCAATAGAAAATGCAGTAGACACACCATTTGAATTAAGTAGGTACCTGAATTGAATTATATTTCTGTAGCAAGCTGCATTGTTTTGCAGGGGGGCATGCTCCCGAAAAAATTCCAAACTTTGTGAGTTGTGACAGCTGTCTGGGACATAATTGAGCAACTCTTTGTAGCCATGCATTGATGGTAGAATCATTTTAAAAACAAACATTTTCTGTCTCCATTCCCAATTCATGTAGCTGGCACAAAATGATTTGACAGCCTGTGGGTTTCCACCACCTACCATCTTTTAATGACAACCCTGTAGATCTACTCAGTATGATATATTGTAACCTTGTGTCTAATTTTGTCTGAAACACATGTTTGAGGATATGACCAGTTTTAATTTTTGAATACATAAGAAATGGAAGATGGGAAGTGGCTAAGTTGAAAACTGAATGGCATAGGTGAGGTACATGCAACTTCACTGGTTGGCTCATATGCTTGCATGACTTTGTTTTGCATGGAATTGCAAAGCTTTTTTTTTTCTTACAATAGTGGGAGAAAGTAACACTGTAAATGCTAACTCTTTATAAATAGACATGAAGGCCCAGTGTGGTCAGTGAGTTGGGCACATCCTAAATTTGGAAATCTTTTGGCTTCATGTTCTTATGATAGAAAGGTGAGTGCTTTTTCTTTTTCTCTTTTTTAACATTAGTATGTATATTCTCCATACTGTTCTCTATACATTTCCTTTGGTGCTTACAAGAAGAATTTGCCTAACAATCAAGAGCTTATTGTGTGTGCGATGATTTCTTTCATTCTCATAACCTTAATGTTTGGTCCAGGGGTGATAATGTAAGGAGAAATTATATACTTATCACTCTTACAGGTTAAGGGTTACAATAGGATAGCAATGTTTGAGACTGTGTATCAGATAATTAACATTTATGTTTACTTGCTCAGGTTATTTTATGGAAAGAAACAAGTAATGGTTGGACAAAGCTTCAAGAATTTTGTAATCATGACTCATCAGGTATGCAAAAAATTCAGTTATAAAGTAAATGGAAATACCTTTAAGTGTGGAATTTAAACTTCCCTTCATGTAAACCTGATCTGTCTGCTGTGCAGTGATGGTTAGCAGAAACAACATTAACAGCAAAATTGTTTTGTAGCAGTTTGTTGAATATCGTGGTGAAAAAAATATCAGTTTGGTGTAACAGAGGTAAAGAGAACAAGGATTAATGTAGGACATATACATTTGTATCTTTGGTTGCTCAGGCTTGCATATAAGTACTTGTAAATTCATATTTCCTAAGCATTTAACCCTTTAACTCCCAAGATCTCATTAGTAATTCTCCTTACTGTCTGTCATATAGTTCTTGTGATATTAGTTGGGAGAATTTGGTATTGAATCAATTAATGATGTCCCAATGAATATTTTCCTATATTCTCATCACTTGTCTGCTTGACATTGTATTGATATTTTAAGGAGAAACTCTGTCTTGGTCACTCATGGGTGTTAAAGGGTTAACGGTTAATTTGTTGTTGTTTTTCTTTTGTCATTTTTGTTTTAGTAAATGCTATATCCTGGGCTTCTCCAGACTATGGTTTAATGCTAGCTTGTGGATCTTCTGATGGCTCCGTCTCTATTATAAGCAGTTCAGGTGAGAATAATTTGTTTGATCTTCCTGAACAGTACAACTTTCATTGCAACTAAGTGTTGGAAAGAAATGTTACCTTTTCAAGGCTTCTGTAGTATGCCCAAATGTTACTGAACAATTTGCAAGTTGTATTCTTTGTGTTAAGAACTTTGTTCTTATCAGGAAAGTATGCTCTAGAAAACATTTCATTTTTACCTCTGCTATTAAACCTTTACAATCTAACATCAGTATCTTTATTCTCCATACTGTTCTCAATACATTTCCTTTGGTACTGACAAGGAGAATTTGTTGAATAATCAAAGCTTCTTAAGTTGGTGATCATTTCCTTTATTCACATGAACTTGATAACTGATTCAGTAGTGTTACAGTAAGGAGAAATTAGATCCTGGTCACTGTTGAGGTTTAAAGGGTTAAAAAGTATTTGGAGGGAATTTTTCTGTCCTTAGATTCCAAAAGATGTTTTATTCTGTCATATTTTTAGGTGATGGACACTGGGAAACAATAAAAATAAGTAACGCACACACAGTAAGTACATTTATTTTTTTCTCAGATGGCACGGTAATGAATCCTGCAATCTGATTGGTTCTTAATGTGGTCCTTGTTTTCCTATCTCTGCCCATGGGCAATAGTAACAGATGAGAGTGAATAATACTTTCCATAAGATCATTGACTGCTTTTCAAGAAAACATTGTTGTGACAGTCCTTGCCAAACTAGTTCTGTTGCTTTTCCTAAAGTGTACCTGTGTTTTTTTTCTTATGTGCTCTCTAATTGACAGGTGTCAGATTGTGACAGTTACTTGTAAAAACAATGTTTCAAAGTTTGTTGGAAGCCTTTTAAATCACCTTTATCATTACGCAAATGAAAATGTTTTGTTGAAGCTTCTCTCTTTCATTTGCATCACCTCTGTTTTAACTACCATTTACTTGCTCAAAAAGTGTTCAGTTTATGGAAGATCTTGCTGTAATTACAGCCCTAAATAATTTTGGTTCTTTTAGAAAGAATTTCATTAAGTTTAAGGAAAAAAAAATTAAAATGTTATTCACCAGCCTAAGTTGGTCTGTACTGAGAAAAACTGTACCCTCTGTCTTGAGTACCGCCCATCAGGTGGGCACAAATTTTCCTAATACGGACCTCCTGGCTGGTGAATAGCATATGCACTATGTAAACATGGATGTTACACAATCTGCTCTGTTGCAACAGTTAGCTGTAGTAATTTTAACACTCATTGCTGTGTTTATTCTTGACATGCATGCTTCTATGCTGTCAAGATGTAGCTATTGAGTAAGATGAACTCATGATGCTGTTCACATACAGGGCCTTATTTGTAATCCTGTGTGGTGTAATTGTCATGTACATTTGTTCAATTAACTTAAGTACCATTGCAGCAACTGTACATGCAAGATAATTAGTGAAATCAACAGACTTAATGATGTGAAGTAGTCACTGTGAAAAGATTCTTTGCTCTGATGAAGAGCTAATGTTTTAAATGTTGGCTCAAGAATCTTCTTTAATGGTGGCCCTACCACAGAAGAAAATTTTCCCTACAATAACTGCAGATACATTTTCAATCAGAAAGGTGATGAGACAAAAGAAAATATAAACAAATATATATTGTTTAATGTGAAAATGAGATCTCAGAGTTAAAATTACAAGAAAAGAGTGCCAAAAAGTTAGGAGAATTGGTATTTAGATCATGGAAGTGAATGGGTCAAAGAAACCATGTGACAAAACTACATCTCATATTGAAGGGGATGACAAAAATATTATTTTAGTTCGGCAGAAACACTGTAAAGCAGCAATAATAAACAAAGAAGAAATGGCAATGGCAAAGGATGCATTTGATTACTGTTTGTCTTTGTTAATCAACTGACTTGTTTTCTTCTGTTTAGATTGGTTGCAATGCTGTTAGCTGGGCTCCTTCAGTCGTGCCAGGGACGTTATTGGAGGGGGTAAGATTCTTTAAGAAAAATGTGGTTCTGCATTGGTGGGGGGAATGAAGAGATGATTTGGTTTTATCAACTGAGTTGATAAAATAAACTGTCCATGGTAAAGAGTTTCTAAAGCTGACATTTGGAGCATGACAAATGACAAAGGACTGAGGTTTGAAACCTTAGATTTTAGGAACTCTTTAGGCGGCCAATTTACATTATCAACACAGCTGGAAAAAAAAACAAACAAACAAAAAGCAAATTGTTAACAAAATTACCACAATATTTTAATGTTGTGATTGTTTTTCGCTTCTTTTAAATAAAAGGGTTTCTAATATCTATGATTATTTTCATGTTGTCTTCATAACCCTTTAAACCCTAACATCAGTATGCATATTCTCCATACTGTTTCCTAAACCTTTCCTATGATGCTGACAAAGAGAATTTGTGTAACAATCAAGAGTTTCTTTTAGCTGGTGATCATTTCCTTTATTCTCATGACCTTAATATATGATTCAGGGGTGATATTGTAAGGAGAAATTTGATCCTAGTTACTCTTAGGGGTTAAGGGGTTGAAGGTATTAATTTTTTTGTTTCTCTGGGCTCTACATGCATTAGTTCGCAACATTTTTTCAGTAGTTTGCAGTGTTTATTCACAGGGAAATAGTTTTTGGCTACAATCTTTAAAAAAAAAAGGAAACTGTTTCGACACTTCTTGACCTTAATGGAAGGTAAGATAACCCCTCCCCCTCTCTCTCAAAAAAGAAATTTTTATCCAAGGAGCTTTTTTTAAGAGGCAGAACTGGTTCTTATATCCAACAAATTCCTGCCACCTGTAGTTGTCCATACTTTTAAAGAATCACAAAGAATACTGGATATTGTTTCTCCTTTTCTTTTTTCACTAGACTGGGGCAAAGTCCGGTCCTTCAGTCAAAAGATTTGTCACAGGGGGATGTGATAACTTGGTAAAAGTATGGAAGTAAGTCACAAATACAAGTAATGATCATGGTTGAATAAAATGCATTTGCTCAAGCCTAGGAATGAGTATTTTTGTCTCCTTTTTTGTGTGATAAAATCCAAGGCATGATTAAACCTGTGAACTTTGATTGGTAGTGTGGCTCACAGTTCTGATTTGCAGTAACTCGTGTCATGTTATTATCTACATATCCTACTGTGGCATCCAGACTGAGGCTGGTCAACCTGTAGGACTTCACTTGGTCAGCCTGATATTAAAACTCTGGCATGAAATTGAGGTGGATAGATATCATACCTGTGTGAGATCAAGGCTATGTGTGTCATCAGTCAGTCCAAGATGGCAAACAGAAAAAGCTAGTATGATCTAGCTTTGGATTAATACCTGCAGGACTGAAAAATGGCATGAATAGTATGCCTTTCCTTTCACCCTGATTTTGGTGGCATTAAATTTTTAGTAGATTTCTACTGTAATCCTGACTCTTGTCTTTAATGTTATTATTTTTAGAGAAGTCGATGGCCAATGGGAAGAGGAGGAAAAACTAGAAGCACACAGTGACTGGGTCAGAGATGTTGCTTGGGCACCTAATGTTGGTCTCCCTATTAGCACCATAGCAACATGTTCTCAGGTACAGTATGTTTAAGTCATTGGATGTTAGGTTGTTTGTGCATTCAACAGAAGACATAAAATTATGTGTTGATTTGGCCTGTGTAGGATGTATTTCCTACCTCAATTGAGCAATGTAAAGGACATGATTATCCTAAAAAAGAAATGTGTTACTGTAATGATAATGGCTACCAAATGAAGCCTCCTTGGATTTTCAATTTAACACTGTAATTTTGTCAGAGGCCAAATTGTTCTAAGGAACTTGAAAGGTGTTATTACTGTAAGAGTAAAGGTAAGAACATGCAATTTACAATTTTTTTTAATGAACTTTTATGCAGGATTGTCGTGTTGTTATCTGGACAAAGGATGAAGTTAATGGAGGAACATGGACTTCTAAGGTATCCTAGAAATTTGAAATATAATTAATTCAATGTTTGTTAAGTTTTTTCAGTTTTTATTTCTTGTGCCAATAAGGGTTTGGCTGTCAATTTTATGTGGATGGGCTAAGTTAGAATGGCTATTTTTCTTATTTGAAACAACTAAGTGTTTTCTTACATGAATTACAGTGAGTTTGGCAAGGGGTTTTGAGAGAAAGTCTAGATAATTTTGCCAATAAGGTTTCCAGTTTTCAAGACCTTAAAAAAAATAATGATTAAAGACGTCTTCTTTTCCATACATGAGTATGTATAAAATAATGGTGTTTGTTTTCTCTGCAGGTTGTAAAGAAGTTTGGTGATGTTGTGTGGCATGTGAGTTGGTCAGTCACAGGCAGCATTTTAGCTGTATCTGGGGGAGATAACAAGGTATGCAAGAACCAGTGTTTTTTAGCTGTCAGAAAAGCATGGGATAGGTCAGACTACACATAGGCCTCATTTCGCAGTATAGTAAATTGTGCAAGTCAATAAAAATCAGTGATTATACATGTACATCTTGATGCCTTATGTTTGTCCTTGGGTATCACTCCCAGCATTGGTGTGCTGCCACCTCATTTTTTCCCTAATCTGCTAAAAAAATATGGGATTTACCAATGGACATTCCATGAGGTGGCTCTTCTTGTCCCCTTTTTCTGGGTTGAATTGGAATTTAGAGTGTTGGTTTTTATGGAGGAGGAAAATGGTGAACCTGAAGAAAAACCCCTGGAGCAAAGATGAGATCCAACAACAAAAACTCAACTCACATGTGATACCAGGTCCAGGAATGGCACCATATGCTGTGTTTCTATATACAGAGTAATACATGGGTGTAAGTAGATATGGAACAACACACATTAATAAATATTGTATTTTTTCATACGTGTTGTAACATTTTTTCTCTGGGCTGGAAATCCATGTATAACACCATAGTTATATGATAAAGAGGTATTACACACAGTCTGTTGATAAGTTATGGGTTGTTTTGGAGAACATTTAAAGAGAGACAGCTGATGGTTTTTTAACCTTTGATACATAGTTTATTTGCATTTTGTTATTGGAGCCTTGTATTGTGGGTCACTAAATCTCTTTTCCTTCCATAGGTGAGCTTATGGAAGGAGTCTCTAGAGGGGCAGTGGGTTTGTGTCAGTGATGTGTACAAAGGTCAAGGTCAGGAGCCACAATGATGTCACAGTGATGTCACATAGCCATATTTAGACAAAGAACTTTTTTAAATATCTAGAGAAGAAAATGTGAGATACATCTGCATCAAAGAACTTGGACCTGGGAATGTAGTTTGGTTACCTGAGAATGAATAGGAAGATCTGTTGGTCAGAAGCTTTGCTTCACAAGGGACACAGCACTACATGGTTTTTCTATTGTTTTGGCTGTAATTAACAGCTTTCTCATGGCTTGAAAAGTTCTGTGTTTATGGTCTGTGGTTGATGTTGATGTTGTCAATGTTATGGTTTAAATAGGGAAAGAAGATCTAATTTCTACAGTACATCCGGTCACTTTTAATCTGTCAAATTGACATACACTGTTCATAAATAGTTGGTACTAGCTTTGTGAATAAAATTGAAGAAACTTGTGTGTGACTGCACAAAGTTATTTACTGATTTTAATCATGTCAGATTTGCTCTGCTCACTTAAATTGCTATGAAAGGGAAAAGTTTGAAAACCCTCTTAGACTACTACTATAATTCTCATTTATCTCCCCACCTCTCCTGTTCTAATGATGCCTAATAGTACAAATGATTGCAAATTTCAGGTAACATTGATTTAGACAGTATCCGCTACAAAAATAAACATATCTATGGTCAGTTAAGATTTCTGTTTTACACAAAACTACTTTTCCATCTTACGTGACTTTTCCATCACACGTGACTACATCGTGAGACAAACGTAAAACTAAGCTTTTATTACTTTTCCATCTGTTAGTAAGTAGGCAATTAATTAAGAAATTAAACACTGTATCTCTTTGTTGGGTACCGATACCTGTTCTGATCTACGTAGTTTGTAGAAACGAGTCCCACCTTGAAAAAGTTCCTCTATACTTCCATCAGTCCTCTTAGCTTTGAATTGGGAACATAACCTCGATCAAACAACATTTTGTCTCGGACTCCCATGCAATTTGAAGAAAAATCGAACCTGGTTTTTGTCGAACACATTTAAGAAAGTAATTGAAGTAGTGGAAATTATAAACTCAGCCCGTCTAAAAATAAATGTGAAAGATGAATTGTTGTGAGTCGTGGAATTGATTGGAAGCTATGTCTATGTGAATGGCGGAAGTCGCAGCGTCACGCAATCACGCGTACAATCACTTCCGTGACGATCAATTTGCATAATTTATCTTTCCGAGAAACGAAACCAGCTTTCGAATTCCCGGAAGCAGAAACAAGGTTTACAGCAAGTGATTACTGTTTCTTCGCACTTTCTGTAGTAAGTAAATGGTGACATGAAGATGGATTTGCGATCAAAGTAGTTCCTTTACATCTTGAAAAGAAAGTTTTACCCAAGGTAAGTCATCTCGCCGTGAGAAATATTCGTATCAAAACCCAGACGCCAATAGCACAGAAAGTAGATATGCTCGCTAGGATTTTGTTCAGAATGAGTTTGGTGAATATAACAAGTATTAAGCCGAAGGTTAGAGTATTTCACTAGGCAACAAGTATATTTTTCGATCAGCCGATTTACGTATACTGCAGTCAGTTGAAACAATTTTAAATCACCAGCTCCAAATGCAAAGTGACAATGTTTTGATGGTGGCGATTTTTAAAGTTGCATTCTAACACAAACTACGGCAGTTGATCATGAAATACCGAGTAGAGATGAAAAGAAGACATATAGCAGTTTTATTTTCGGATCGGCGAAAAACTTCCCATTCGAGATCTTCATGATGGTTTTCATAAAAATGCGCCTCAGCGCAAATTCGATCTTATAAAGTTATATGAGAGCAATTAATCTCTAGTTACTGCACTGAGGAAAATTGTCTGTATTGCTCTAAATCATTGTGATTTTCCTCAGTGCAGTAACTAGAGATTAATTGCTCTCATCTATCGAATATATCGCAATCAGGTTCAGTACTGAAGCTGGTTACGTTCGTTGCTTAATCATGGTACGAAAGTGATACCACTGACAGTGCTAATGTGCCTCGTAATCGGCTGGTTAAATTGAATAGTTTCCAGTGGAAACGTGTGTCCGATTTTTGATTAATCTTTCTAGTTTAGAAGCAAAGTAACACACCAGAATTTGAATACGGAATACTTTCATTCTGAATTTTTTGGTATTATGTTCAGTTAGAAAGAACTCTCCAAAATTTAAAACTCTTCACTTCATCCTTATTAATTATTAACAAAATAATTTCTAAGCAGTGAAGCCTCTTCTCTCTTACTCAGACCATTTTAAGGTTACTTCCCACCTTCGCGGGTGTCCTTCGGGAAAAAATTCGTACGCGCCCTAGTTTCACTAAAATCCTAGAGAACTATACATCAGAAGAAAGCTTACTAACTGCAGTTTACGATGAAAATATAATTTAAGCGACTTTTCCTTTAAGGAAGTGTCAGGAGCCTGTAAGGCGTGAAACGACCGAGGGTTATTCTAATGAATTTATTGGGTATCGGATGCCGCGGCACGAGCAAAATGGCTGCACAGTTTTATTCACAAGGCATCAATTAACTTACGTGGGTCAGGCTTTTTCGATATTCTGATTGGCTTTCTAGATTTCGGTATAGCTAAAAATATGCGAGGCGTGTTGCGTAAATGGAAATCACGGGACAAATATTTCCAATATCGAAATCTCCCGACACACTTTCGTTTGTCTTGGAATGTTTTGGTGAAATTTGACGAGAATCGGTTAAACATTTAAGAAACTTTTTTATGGAAACATTAGGTTAAAGGTTTGAATTCAGTTTAGTCAATTAAAGGAAAAATTGATTCTTTTCGGCCTTTGAGGATGGGAAGTAATTTAAAAAGAGGCACAGTTAGTGAATATTACACCACATAAAACGAGGATGCGTTAGCCCGCGGAAGAGACCAAACTCCTGTTCAGCCGGGGGGTGGGGGGGGAGGGGAGGGGAGGGGTACGAGGGTAGTTTTGCACCCGATGATTTCCTCACGAGATACCAATGTACCTTAAAATTGCGAAATCTTCATTACCAAATACCTCAAATTGCCTACAGTTGTTGAATCGTGTCAAATGCTAATTCACAACAATCGTGAAGAATAACATAACTACAGAGAAAGTGAATACCCGAGACCCAGGAAACCTGACTACCCAAAATCCCCGGCCCGGCCCGCAAAATGGTGGCAGGAAATTATAAACATTTGATTTTCATTATAAAGAAAATTTATTCCAAAACGTAAATAAAAACCCTTCACATGGTTATGTAACAAAGTTAAATCAAGCAAGATGTTGTTACAGCATAGAGAATGAGAGCAAAAAAACGGAGGCAGTTACATCGCCGGGAGTACATGAAAATGTCCGTAAACGTGAGCTATTTATGACTGTCAGTGCCCTGATATTAAGAGATGCATTGAACTTAACCTCAAGCGCTTGATTATCTTTGATATTTTCAGGTTTCCTCTGCAATTTGCGGAAAGCAGTGGAGGGGGGGGGGGGGTGAGGGGAATTCTGCAGTGCTAATATTCTATTTCCTGGCAGGTCTTTAATGGCTTACGCTGCACAGAGATGGTCTCTCATGAATCGGGTGGGCAAAGTTACTCTCCATTGTAAAAAATGCAACACAGAACTGGCCACGAAGGAAACTGTGATGCTGGCTAAGGTACCCCCCTCCGGTACCCACTTAGCCGTTCGCGAGGGGATGGAAGAACAGGTAGAAGCAAAACTTCATAAGGTCGAAAATGAAAAGGGCGGGAAAAGTGCACGGTACTGCCCTTACGTTTTTCATTGCCGAGGGTGTGGCGAACGCGTTGCAAACATAACAAAAGTGGCAGGGAAACAGCTTATTTGTTTTGGAATAGAATATTTAGATATTTTTCATTATGGAGGATCATGGCGAAGTAAAAGGATTACAGCAAATAAACTGTCAAAAGTGAGCAAGGAGTTGGAAGAAGAGTGTGGAATTGAAGTTGTCAACGTTACGACGCATGCGCAAGAGACAGGAAGAATACATCAGTCCCGTGGGGATAGCAAATCCATGGTTTATTGTGATACAAGTGGATTGACTCACACATCGCGCGAAATCGATTTCTTAACGCGTCTAGTCCCGCGAGATTATCAGCGGGAGTTGTTCCTTTCTGCGATGCGCGGTAATACGCTGGTATATCTTCCCACGGGCTCAGGAAAGACTCTGATTGCAGCCATGGTGATGAGTTGCATGAAGAAGTTGAATCCAGGCAAAGTTATGGTATTCCTTGTCGACCGAGTACCGTTAGCGTACCAACAAAGTGAGAAGATCAAGTCACAGTTGACAGGTTTGACGGTTGAAACGTTGGTCGGTGAAATGGAGTCGCCTCAAAATGGGAGTATTCATCAAAGATTAGCTGATAACAAGATTGATGTGTTAATCTTAACACACCAGATTTTTCTAAATTTTTTAGCCACGGAGGACAACCCACCCATTCGCCTGTCCGATGTTTCTGTTCTGGTTTTGGATGAGGCTCACCACTGCAGCGGGCACCACCCGTACAACGAGATTATGGAGTACTACAAAAAGACACCAAACCGGCTTAAACCTGTTGTGCTCGGTCTATCAGCCTCGCCGGCCGGAGAGCTTACAGTCGAAAGAACCAGTGAGAAGCTAAAAGAGCTCCTTGAGAACTTGGATTGTAAAATCGCGATGCCCATTAAGTCGGATGTAGATGTAAATATCCCAGACGTGATTTATGAAAGATCTGACTACATGAACACTGACCAAGTTATCCTCCAGCTATATATTGAAGAACACATCAAACATCTGATAAAGAACCATCTCAAAGATGTATCAGATCGTCAACGTTTTGAGTTTCCCGTCTTCTCATCGAATTTTAGAGGTGCGCTGAGAAAGCTCATTGACAGTTACCATGGTAACAAGAAATCCTTCAAAGCGCTCACCGTTGCTGAGCATGCAATGCACTTGCTCAGCGTTGTTGAGTTTTGCGAAGTTCTTGGTTACCAGTATGCCGTTGAAAGTCTCAAAGAATGTGTACACCGCATTGTTTACGCTAAGTCGCCGAAAGATTGTGCCTTGAAGAGGCTAATTGGAGGTCAACCTACTTTTCAGGCACTCCAAAATTTGGCAGACCAAGCATGCAGGGCTGACCACGTACGCGCAGTTGTCATGTCGGACAGGTTCAAAATTCTTGAGAAGCACATAAAGCAGTTTCTTTGCCGAACTTGGGAAGACCCAACTTCTAGAGGTATCATTTTTGTGAGCTTGCGCAAAACGACCTTCAAACTTTGCGAGCAGATCAAAGAGATCCCGGATGTGGCCAAAACGTTAAATCCTTCCCCTTTCGTCGGCCATGGACAAGGAAGCTATGACGGGATGATATGGAAAGACGAACAAGAAAGGCTGTTGAAAGAGTTTAGAAAAGGAATATGCAAGCTTCTGATTTGCACGAGTGTTTTGGAGGAAGGACTGGACGTCCCCGAATGCAACCTGGTCGTTCGCTTTGAGGGTACAGCAACACTTCGGGCGCTGGTTCAGACCCGCGGGCGCGCGTCCCGTAGACGTGACAGCAAGTTTGTCGTCATTTGCAATGAAAAACAAGAAAGAGATGCCAGAGATCTGTGTCTCAAGGAACAGAACATGGAAGAAGCTATCAGATGTTTGATGGATGGACCGAGGTGCCAATCACAAGCAGATGAATTTGGATGCGAAGTAAGAAAACCAAAGCTCTTCCTCCCCGGCACAGAGGATAATGGTGTGAATACTTCTCTAGTCATGCGCCACAGCCCTCGTATATCTGTCATGGTGCACAATATGGTTGGTCAAGAATCTCGCGTGATAGATTTTCTGAACGACACCTTTGACGTGATATCTTCAAAGCCAATCCAGTCCACTTCATCGCTCGTTGATGCACCTAAAAAGAAAACTACATTACAAGATATGGCGTTTGAACTCGAACCAAGCTATATTGAAGAAGCCAAGGAGTTTCGCTCAAAGGAAGAGTTTGCATGTCACGTGACAGAAGCGTGGTGCACGTGCCTCACCCACCGTGACGAGGAACCACTTCCGGTTTGGCTTCAGGCCCCGCCATTAGAAAAGCGCCGCAGATCTAACGAGCCATTTCATTGGTTGAAAGCAAATTCCTTGTGCTTGGGTACTTTTGTGAGTCGATGCCATTTTCAGTGTGAGTGGCCTCTGGAGACCACACTAAAAAATATTAAGATTCATTTTGATCACAGCTTTAAAATGCTGACCTTGCATTCCTCCAGGCAATCTTCCATCGTTCCTGGTCAAGGTGCTGTTGGTAGAGGTCCATACAAAATAGAATTTCGCTACGACGAGATTGAAGATTTCATAATCGTGGATTCTGATAGTAATGCAGGAATCATCAAAATTTTTCTGACGGCGAGACACCCTCCACGGCTGTATCGCCAACTGGAGGACGAACAAAATTTTTTCCACCTCGCTCAAATAGATGAACAAGACGATGAAGATGATTCAGTCGTCTCGTCAAGTGAAGATGACTCGGAAACCGAAGGCCTCTCGACCGACGAAGAATATGCGGATGTAATAACCGCCGATTTTCATGACGCCTCCCCAGATGTCTCACGTAATCTCGCAGATAAAGGAAGCTGGGAAAGGGCGTCAGATTTCCACAATGGTGAAAATGCCGTAAGCCAGTGCTTTACCTATTGTGTTACAATACCATTTAATGAACTTGTCCAGTTGAGGCGCTTGTTGACCACAGTCGAGAAAAGATTCCACAAAAGTGCATTTTACTGCCGAGTGAAGGAGAGCTATGGGAAATTACCAGATGTAAACATTCCCGATAGTTTGCCATTTGACGTTAAGTATGCCGCTGGAAGTGTCCTCAGTTTTCATCCTTTGGTTCGCGGAAGAGTGCCATCTGGTAAATTTGGTAGACTTTTGCTTGGAAAGTCTTCCGATATAGCTATTGCCGCTTTGGAAAAATTGAGTAAAGTGTTGGAAAAAGACAAGTTTTGTGACCCAGGCAACACTCTGAAGTCGTTACTGAAACAAAACAACCCATCGACCTCCGGGATGTTTAACAGGTTGGTTCCAGGCCATTGCGCTTTGATAAAGCGCGCGGTCATCACCCCAACAAGGCTGCTCTTCTATCCACCGGAAGTCATGGTGAAGAATCGCGTGCTCAGAAATTATGATACAAACGACTTCCTCTGTGTCAGTATTCGTGACGAAGACCTGTCAAAAATGTCTGCAGCAAGAGGGAACATCGACGATCTATTAGACGGAATGAAACTCAAACTAGATGAAGGACTTGAGATAGCTGGTCAGCGGTTTCAGTTCTTGGGTTCCTCGAACAGCCAGCTTCGTAACCATAGCTGTTGGTTTGTAGGGCCCAGATATCTACCGGACGGCATACGTCGCTGGATGGGAGATTTCACCAAAATCAGGTGAGTGAGCACTATTCCTTTTTTCAATTTCAAACAAATGAACGTTTCCAGTCAAAATTAACAAAAAATTATTCTCCAATAAAGCGATATCATTCCTTCAACCAGTCTAGCCATTGATTAGAGGTGAACAGGAACGCGAAGCATTTGAATAGAGTACGAGATTAACAAATGTTGGCTACTTAGGCACTTTGTTACAGGGAAGTGATCTGAGTCTAGAAGCCATGTTGTCACACATTCACCTGTGAGATTCACCATTAGTAAATGGTTATATGCACTTTATTTAGGAAAACTGCAAATTACAAGGTATGATGGGAGCAAAGTATTCCGGAACTGTTTTGTTTCACATCACTCGGTGATTGGTCAAGGAAACCTGTTCAACCCTTTCCGTCATGGAGGTGCAAAACTCAAATTGGTCGTGACTCAGTTATTTGCATATTTCTCCGTTTTACGCAGTTTGCTTGTTCATTTTTTTCTATTTCCCTTTGGCTCATGTGATATTTTCCTCTGTTCTAATTGGCCATATGAACATTAAAATGTTTTCATATTGCTTTCCAATAGGTGTGTTGCCTCATACATGGCTCGTATGGGCCAGTGCTTTTCCACCTCCTTAGACGCTGTGGGGTTTGCGACCAGTGAGGATACCTATCATGACGTAGAAGATGACGTTGAGACACCTGACCGAAAATACTGCTTCTCTGACGGAGTCGGAAAGATATCCGAAGAGTTGGCCGCAGAGGTATGGTGAATATTTATTTTACTTCGGAAAAAGGGGAGGTATTCTCCTCTAAATACTAGCCCGCTGAAACATAAAGTAGTACAGTGGTGTAAGCCACTTCACGTGAGGCGCATGGAAATTGCCATTTGCGACCTCCCCCCCCCGTTTCAATAATCCTTTTTACGTTCTTATTTTAGGACATTTACGTGTATTTAATTTCAGTTCTTATTTCCTTCTTGTACTGATTTTAGGATTATGAAAGTCAGTCCTTCGAAAAGCGCTGCAATACACTTTACGTGTTTTAGAAATTTAAAGAGCTTCTGATATGTTGCGAAATCTTCATTTGACAATTGAAGCTTTCAGCTTGTAGACCTAAAGAAACGCATTCTCTTTCAGGTCGTCCGAAAAATTGGTAAACCATTCAAACCATCCGCATTTCAAGTCCGTTGCGCCGGCTACAAAGGTGTCCTTACGCTAGATCCCAGACTTCCAGGGAAACAGGCCATTTTTCGTAAGAGCATGTGCAAGTTTGATAGCTTTCACCGCAGACTGGAAGTATTGCAAACGTCTCGTCCTCAGGTCGTTTTCCTCAATCATCAGGTCATCATGCTTCTATCCAACCTAGGAGTCCCGGATGAAGTCTTTATCAAATTGCAAAACGACATGTTGGACAAACTGTCAGGTAAGAGGATGACGTCAAGAGATTCGAGTCAGAAAACGTCCGACTTAGAGAGGATGATCACTTAATTACATGGAAAAAAGTGAAAAGTTGCGTTTTGAATCTGAGAATGTTTAAGCTGATAAAATATGGAGAGATGCGGCGTTTGCACCTTTTTAACGTTTTGTTTTGTTTCTGTGCTGGCTTAAACTACCCTATAACCATGCGTTTAAATACATGCTGCTGAGCAGTACATGTGATAGTTATGCTAAATAGATGTGCGTTAACTTTGTCATTTAGATGAAAGCTTTTTAAACTCTTCATTTTTATTCCGTGACAATTGTCTATATTATCACAAAACCGTCCTACTAGACCACTGTTGCTGACTAAGTTAGAATTGGCAAAGAATAGAGTTAGTGTCCAGGCCTCACCTTCCTTCCTTTAATTCCGTCTGGTATGATAGAATCCCTCATATTACGCCTGTTTTTGTTCAAAGGGATGCTTGTGAATGAACGTGATGCTATTCAGCTATTGGGAAGTGGAGCCAAAATGGGCGTGTCCTATCACAATATTTCTAATGCAGGGATACCACTGACAACGGAGCCATTCTTTAAATCGCTGCTGGTCGCCATGTACCGAAATCATATGCACGAACTGCTTGCCCGAGCCCGCATTCTTTTGCCACCAGCGGAAGCGCGCTTGATGATGGGTGTGATGGATGAGCTTGGTGTCTTGAAACCTGGTCAAGTGAGTTTTTTAAAATTTTATTTTATTTTCAAGTTTTACTTTCTTTATTGCTCACCGTGAATCTGAGCCTGGTACGGAAGAGTCTGCCTTAATATAACTTCACAATAACGGCTAATTTTTACAAATGGCCCTTGAAAACTGATTTTTTGAAATGAATACAAATTTAACCCCTTCGCAGCAGATTTACACAATAAAAACATCACATTTTGCGATCGAACTCCTCGCGAATTTCTGAACAGCTAAAACAATTCAGGGTTACACTGCCTGGAAGGTCTATATTATGCTGATGGTCAATTTTACCTACCCCTCCCCTAACCCAACACTACCTAACTTGTTTACACTTGAATGTTGTTGAACTCCCATAACATGTCACATCACATGACCGGACAAACTCTCCCCCCTCCCCCTCCCCCTCCCCCTGGTGCCCTGGCCATGCAGGCCACAATGGGCCTCAAATCCTACTCGCAACCATCATTAGACCAGTTTTGGAAAGATAATGATGATTTTGAGGAAGGTAAACAGTAAATTTGCTTTTGGAATCTTTTGAAGAACATGTTTAATCTGTTTTATCGCGGTTATCAGGTTTTCGTACAGTATTCCGCCGTTGAAACACGCGCTGATCGAGATGACGAGTTTAACAAGAACAAAAAAATTGTGCTAAGGGGACCAGTGGTGGTTACTCGGAATCCATGTTTACATCCGGGAGATGTACGTCAGCTCGAGGCTGTTGACATACCAGGCCTCTGTCATCTTGTGGACTGTGTCGTTTTCCCACGTCAAGGCTCGCGGCCACACCCTAACGAGATGGCAGGTAATATGAATCACTTTCTCTTCCAACCTGAAACACTTACACGCGCTTAAGTTTATATATATATCTTGATTTATTTAGGTATATCGTGAAATGATTTAGTTTCCACCGAAGACAGCCTCCCCTACGAAGTAATGTGACTGAAATTTGCTTATTTATTTGCGATATTTAGACAGGCTGGCTCGGTTCAGCATCAAAGCTGGTTTAAATGGGGGCCTGTATAAACAGTAAGAAGGTCAGACTACAACGCTGGAGCTACGTTCTCTTTGCGAGAAGTGCGTGGGTTCGTTAATGTCCCATTCTAATCAGCACTTTGAAGATGCAAGAGATAGGGCCGACGGTTTATGGTTCTTATCTGAGAGGAAAAGAATGTCTAACCATTTGCAGATGTCATAGCAAAGGCAGCAAATTCTCCTCAGTTGTTTTTTAGACCCTGAGTGTTGGTCTGGTCCGTGGCTTTAACCCACGACCTTACGCACGGCAGTCCAGCGCTCTACAACATGAGCTAAACAAGCGAAGTTTTTTTTTTCATAAGAATTCAAGCGAAATCTACGAAATTTAGTCATAAACAGATCAGATTGTGAATATTTGAACGAACTTCTAAATGCCCATTCTTATTTCAGGCGGTGATTTGGACGGCGATCTATACTTCGTCTGTTGGAATAAAGACCTGTTACCAAGGAAACCAAATTATCCGCCAATGGACTATCCGTCACTTCGTAAACTGGAGAAGACTGAGCCAATCACTACTCGCGACATGACAAAGTTTGTGGTGGATTACATCCGGTCTGACCAGTTAGGCGTTATTGATAATGCGCACAAGGCGGTGGCGGACATTGAAGAAGACGGCGTGCAACATAAGGATTGTCTTTATCTCGCAGAACTGCACTCTTTGGCGGTTGATGCACCCAAAACGGGAAAATGGCCGAGTACTAAGGGTATTAGGAGGATAGAAAAGCGTCCTGATTTCATGATGAAGAGCGATAAACCAAGTTATCCCTCTGAAAAGGTTATAGGAAAGCTCTTTCGGCGCTGTCGGAAGTTTAAAGATGCTACGTCTGAAAAATACGATCAAAACCTTCGTTTGGACAAGTCTCTCTTGTTGCCAGGTAACGACAGTTTCGTTGAAAACGCCAAAGAAGTCTATAATTGGTATCGTGACAAGATGGAGGGCTTGATGCGGCTGTACGGCATCGAAACTGAGGCAGAAATCATCACTGGCTGTTTCATGAAGCTTCGGAATCGCTTGCGCAAAGAAAAAACGGAAATTGCCGAACTCGTCGGCGAACAACTGTTTGCAATACGCTCGTACCTCCGTCGTGAATTCTTTTATGAATTCGGGAGCGATGGACAGTGGTTAAAAAGCGATGTGCTGATTTCGGATGAGATGCGTTTAAAAGCCTCGGCTTGGTACAGAGTGGCCTACACGTTTGCGCATGATCACGGTAATGGTTCAAACCCAAGCAACGAAAAGAGGCTACTCGGTTTTCCTTGGTTTATCAATGACATCATGCTCGCCATCAAAACGCGAAAAGATCGACCCAGTCAGCCCCAGGCCTTAGACGTTAGCGCAACCGTAGGTCAGAGTCTTGTAAGGTTGTTTCACGAAGAGAAGGACTGGTTACTTGAGGAGTTCAGAGCTCGAATAAGAACAAAGAACGTTATATGTCGTCATCTGCAGGCCGCTGAATCCACTTCTTCAATGAGTATCGTCGGCTCTACTGCTACGCTACTATTTCACAAGACTTCAGATCTTGATCTGTTCTTTTTACCTCAGGATACACAGGCACGAAGCCATCAGGCCCTCCCTGAGGTACCACCAGAAGAAAGTAACAATTTAGTTGAGGAAGGAGCGAAAGTATTGAAGTCCTTGATTCCTTTCTTGAAGGAGGAGACGTCAGAGCAACAAGAAGAAGAAGACGAAAACGTTAAAAATCTCTTTTGGAAAGTTCGTCTCGTCAACAAAAAGTCTTTCCCTGTAAGTATCGCTTTTAGTTACACCATATCCAAGGGTGTATATCTTTACTACGACTTGTGGTAAATATGATGTAGGCGACTTAACTTATGCTGTAGCGTTAGTATATGTTGTTCACATGTGACTTCGTAAACAACGACACTGTTGAATTAGTGTTACGACAGCTTTACCGACGAAACACAGCTCCAACCATCAAGTGTTGGACGATTGTACGCTAACCACGCTTAAGAAGAGTCTTCATTCGCGAAAAATTGATTAAAAAGGGAAAATGATAACAATTAAGAAAAGATCTATTTTCCACATTCTTCTCTTGTCTAATTAGGGTCTTTAGCACACTCTTCAAATCCTGACACCGCGCTTTCCTTCGCATCATTTAAATTGGATTTTATTTTCACCCAGGTCCTCTCATGCAAGCAGCCAACAGTGAACCTGATAAATGGCAGTAATTGCTCTCCAACCCTTAATTGCGATCTGAGTTCATCCTCAGACTGTCTAAGAATGGCCGCTTTGCTGTCAAGCTACATCAAGTCGTATCCTGATCTCTTATTAGTGCTCCGTGCTATACACCGATGGTGTTGCGTGACAAGGTTGTCACGCAACGCAGCTGGCGCTGGAAACACTTCAAACTTGCTCTCTGCCCTTCTCTTAGCCCAATGCATACACAACATGCAGATTAAAAACTTTAATGAGGAGCACGTTTTAGAAACGATGGCACGCCAAATGCACGGTGACGCAAGGGATGGTAAGCAGTACATGGAGTTGGAAAATGTCATAGGATATCTGGAAGCTTACCAGATCGATTCCCAATTCCCTCAGGTAGAGCCCGACTTCACCCAAGTTGGCCAGCTTCTGGTGACCTTTTTTCAATCACACGACTCGTGTTTTGAAAGAGAGCTCCCGCAATCGCTCGCACGTCTTTTCCGTGTACGAAAGCTCTCGGAGCGTCTGGGGAAAGACCATTTAGTCCTTGTGAAAGAACAAATGCAACGCGCCTATCAGCTCCTGGCGTTATTTGGAGACGCACAGATCATGTTAACCATAAGTGGCTCCGAAGATTACAACGTAATATTTCTTTCGCCACTTCTTTCCTCGTTCATAGCGGGCGTTGAGAAAAGTAAAGCTCAAGAAATAGCGCGGAAGACCGGAGCGAGGAGCGTCATCATTCGCCCCAATTTTCCACGGTCGTGTTCCTCAGCTGTACTTGAGGTGAAAGGAAGTGAGCCTGCGATACGAGCAGTGGAGAGGGAGCTGGAAGAGATGAGCACAATAGCATCACGCGACAGGATCTCTCTCATGAGTGGCTGTTTTGTAGAAGATGCAAGTCTGCTTTTGTTTGAAGGAAGTCGAAGTCAAAATGATCACGTTTCTCTGTCACCATACGATGGGCGTTGTCATCAGACACACGACCGATTGACCCGGCATGTCGCTTTGCTAGAAAATGTCACGAACGATGGAATCTACGCATACCGCCGTTTTACAGAAAAATTCTTTCAACAACTGCGATTACTTGAGAGAGATTTCGATCCTCAGGTGCATGGCTGTCGTGAATTCGCTGTTCACTTTGGACGAATCTACATGTTCAGTGTTCCGCATATCTTGCTCGAAGATAGCGAGTCCATCACTATTGCAATGCTGAGAACGAATAAACGGAAACCAAGTGCCTTAAACAGAAGGAACAGCCACAGTCAGGGAGAGTCAACTCCAGAAAGAGTCACTTTCGTTGACCAAGAACAAGAACGCGCTCGGAGAAGGAAGAGGCGGGCAAAACGTAATGTGACATTTAGCGAAACCAAGAAGAAGCGGAAACGCGGAAATCCTTCGAGGAGCTCCCTGTTCACGGTTGTTCACTCGCCAGACAGAGTGGAGATTTTTCTTCACGAGACTGAATTCCGGCAAGATGGAAATCCCACTGAAAACTTCTCAGTGGACATTTTGGATGGAGGGGTAGAATTTTACGTCAGGTTCGACGAGAGACTCAACTTTGTTGAAGTAAAGCTTCCAAACCTACGCTGGTTTATGGTGGACGTCAAAAGACCTTACCAACGCCGACCAGATCATGGCGTCGCACAAGATGGCGAACAGGCAGATGACAACTTCGTTTTAGACGGCTGGGAGACAGACGTTCGTTTCTTGTTGCAATCCCGTTATGCTTTGGCACTGAGTGACATCCGGGATACCAAGTACGCTAAGTACCAGTGTATACTCGAACCCAGTACAGGTGAGCAGCCATTTACTGTTCAGGAAGAGTTATGGAAAAATGTGCGACTAATTCGCCACTACAAGTCTAAAAAGTTCACATGCGCTTCACGTCAAGGTGGGTTCCTCTCTGGCCTGACAGCATACCTCAACGAGGTGACAGAATATTCCAGACCATTAGGGCCGGAGAAAGTCGGTGAATTCAGAGAAAAACACACTCGTTGGGAGGTGTCATTGGAGGCAAAGCTTCCAGAAGATTTAGCTGCCAAGGAAACTGTTAAAACGTTCTTAGAGGAAGTATGGAAGTTCGCATTTGCTTTATCCTCATTCGTATCGAAGGAAAATGAGATTAATGTCGGCCAATTAAGAGGCCTCCACCTAGTGAACAATTTTTTATGAGTAATGTTAGATTCACTGAAATCTTTTTCACGTCAGAGAATATCATGATCACTTGATCCCAGCTCCAGTTGCTTAGATAAATGGCCTACAACAAATCATTTTTTTTAAATTTCGATAGTCAACTGTTACATTTCTCGAAACTCAGTCGAAACGCACTCTAAGTACCATTCTATAAGGATATAAGAGATTATAAACTGTGCTCAACTGTATAAAAATTAGTAGGCATGAAAGTGAACTCGCTCACCATCCCGAAATGAATCTTTTGTCTGGTCTGTGAATCAGTTATTATTATTAACTGAATGTCGCGCACGTTTTCTCAAGAGTGTAATTTTGAGCTTTTTTACGAGAGAATTCCTTACTAGGGAGATTCTTTTAACATCGTGTTTTTAACGACATTTAAAAGACATTTCATCAGAATCTTTCAGTTCAGTAGCTAAGGTAAAAGTACTGATTTAGATAAATGTTTCCAAACAGCCCTCTGAGTTTTGCTTAATTTTGCCCAATCCGGCAGAAATAAACACGAGGCTGCTGAAAACAACCTATGCGTAAGCTAAAGGCGGCCATTTTCTAACGCTATAAAGTGAAATTCATGCGAGTGAGGACGAAAATAATGTTTTATAACAATTTTTGGCTGCTGGGTACAGTTTTTATTGTGTCATGCTTGTTTGAGGCATGTAGCCAACTCAATAAAGGAGCTTAACCTCGCGGTACATCTAGTACTCGATGCATTCTGTTTCTAGGCCGAAGTATTCTCGTAAACGAATTCACCAAGAGCACTGATAACTCACAAAATCTCAGTCCTTCGCAGTCACTCTTTGGGAGGTCACGCGATGCTTTCCCCGGCCAAGAGATGGTGCAATCTACCATCCGTCCTTTATCTTATGTTATAAAACTAAGATACTACGAGCGCCTGATTGGTCAAAAAAACCATCGCTTATTGCACCGGTAAATCTATAGAAAATTGAAATTTATGTAAGGTCATTTTATCTCATACTTGGGTTGTGGGGAGAACTCTTGAAAAGTTTGTAAGTTACTCGTCTCTGGCTTGTGATTTCCAAGCTTTTCTCCCAGCATCCTGTCTGGGTTATGCTGGGAATCCAGAAAGTGCGGTTTATCGGAGGAACAGGACGTAAAAAATCAAATGAAAAAAAGAAAAAAATCAAATTAATGTTGAGGTTCACATTTTTCTCAGGTTACCTAAGAACTTCGAATAACCTTTCACTAAAGAAAATCTTGCTCTTCAATTTTCAACTTTTACACTCGTGGTTATTGAATTTTGATGCGCGATCCGGCTGGTAATGCAATTAAGAGTCTGTCCACGAGAGGACCGGGCAGGCGTGACACATGCTATTTCATCGATTTCTTTCAAACTTTCACAGTTTATGAGGGTCACTAAGTTATTCATTAATCCAAAGTAGTTCGGGCTCCCGGTTAATCCTGGCGTTATTAGAGCCCCCGCATCAAATCGCTAGGGTAAAAGGCTAAAATTAGCTCGAAAAATGCACTTCCAACGAATCTCTCTCATACTAACAGAATACGATGGATTTTGATCTTATTAAATCCAATGGGTGTTTTAACCTTAACGAAATAATTCCTTAATTTGGGGAAAATTTAATATAACTTCTGTCAAATTAGAGCAGTCAATCGTTAACTGTGTCACGTAACTATTTCAAAGAAAGGAAAAAAATTAGGGTTTTTTGATTGAAATTTAATTGCATGCCGATCTCTTTTGCCACTTAATGTAGACAGACAGTATCTGCTACAAAAATAAATATATCTATGATCAATTAAGATTTCTGCTTCACACAAAGCTTCTTTTCCGTATGTTTGTGAGAGGCAATTAATTAAGAAATTAAATGCTCTGTATCTCTTAGTTTAGCACCTGTTCTTATCTATGTGGTCTGTAGAAATGAATCCCACCTTGGAAAAGTTCCTCTATATTTCCATCAGTCCTGTAAGCTTCGAATTGGGAATTAACATAACCTGAATAGAACAACGTTTTGTCTCAAACTTCCATGCAATTTTGAAGAAAAATTGAACCTAGTTTTTGTCGAACACATTTAAGAAAGTGGAAATTATAAAATCAGTGAATAATTTCGTAAATTTAGAGTTATCAATAAATGTGAAAAATCATGGTAACTTGAACAGTAGTCACCCGTCTGAGTTGTTATGGCATTCTATGGTTGTACATGAAATCACAGATTTTGAACATTTACCCATTTACCCGTATTGATAAGACAGGAGGTTGAATTTCATTTAAGGAAAATTTTTATTAAGCCCGTCTAAAAAGAATTTTGAATGATGAATTGTTGTGTGAGTCATGGAATTTATTGAACGCCATGTATATGAGAACGGGTGATTGCGAGATTACGTGTTGCGTCACGCAATCACGCGCACAACCACCTCCGTGACGATAATTTGCATAATTTATCTTTCCGAGAAATAAACTAAGCTTTCGAATTCCCGGAAGCAAAAACAAGGTTTACAGCAAGTGATTTCTGTTGCTGAAACTGCAAATGTCGGCAACTTCGCACCTTTTTTAGCAAGTAAATTGTAACATGAAGATGGATTTGCGATCAAAGTAGTTCCTTTACATCTTGAAAAGAAAGTTTTACCCAAGGTAAGTCATCTTATCGTGTGAAATATTATTGGTATCGAAACATGGACGCCATTAACACAGCAAGTAAATATGTTCGCTAGGATTTGGTTCAGAACGAGTTTGGTGAACATAAAAAGTATGAAGCCGAAGGTTAAAGTATTTCACTAGGCAATAAGTGCAATCTTCGATCGGCCGATGTTCTGCAGTTAGTTGCAATAATTTTAAATCACCAGCTCTAAATGCAAAGTGACAATGTTTTGATGGAAGAAATTTTTAAAATTGCATTCTAATACAAACTATGGTAGTTGATCATGAAATACTGCGTAGAGATGAAAAGAAGACATGTAGCAGTTATATTTTTGGATCGGAGAATAACTTCCCATTCGAAATCTTCATGATGGTTTTCATGAAAAAGCGCCTCAACGCGAATCCGATCTCATATAACGTTATATTTATTTGAGATCAAAATTGTAATTCAGAACGATACGGACAGTGTAGTAACAAAAGAATAATCGCTCACATCTATCGAATATATCGCAATCAGGTTCAATACTGAAGCCGGTTACGTTCGTTGCTCAATCATGATACGAAATTTGGTCTGACGCCAACGTGGAGCTTCGTCAGTACCAGTCGCTTTCACATAGGATTTTTTTCTCTTCTTGACAGAATGGTACTCTACTTGACAGAATGGTAGGACAGTCTTGCACCCGATGATTTCCCCAAGGGATGCCAATGTACCTTCATAACCAAATACCTCAAATTGCCTACAGTTGTTGAATCGTGTCAAATGCTAATTCACAACAATCGTGTAGAATGAAATAACTGCAGAAAAAGCGAATATCTGAGACCCAAGACACCTGAATACCCAAATTCCCCGGCCAGGCCTGCAAAATGGTGGCAGGAAATAATAAACATACGATTATAAACTATACAGAGAATTTATTCCAAAATGTAAATAAAAACCCTTCACATGGTTATGTAATAAAGTTAAATCAAGTAAGATATTGTTACAGCATAGAGAATGAGGGCAAAAAAATGGGGGCAGTTGCATCGCCGGGAGTACATGAAATCGTTAGTGAACGTGTGCTATTTATGACTGTCAGTGCCCTGTTATTAAGAGATGCATTGAACTTAACCTCAAGCGCTTGATTATCTTTGATATTTTCAGCTTTCCTCTACAGTTTGCGGAAGACAGTGGAGGAGGGGGGGGGGGGCGTGAGGGGTGTTCCGCAATGCTAATATTTCTATTTCTTGGCAGATCTTTAATGGCTTACGTAGCACAGGGATGGTCCCTCATGAATCGAGTGGGCAAAGTTACTCTACATTGTAAAAAATGCAACACAGTACTGGCCACGAGGGAAACTGTGATGCTGGCTAAAGTACCCCCCTCCAGTACCCATTTGGCCGTCCGGGAGGGGATGGAAGAACAAGTAGAAGCAAAACTTAGTAAGTTTGACAATGAAAAGGGCGGGAAAAGCACACGGTACTGCCCTTACATTTTTCGTTGCCGAGAGTGTGACAAACATGTTGCAAACTTAACAAAGGTAGCAGGGAAACTGCTAATTTGTTTTAAAATAGAAAATATAGATATTTTTCATAATGGAAAAAAGATAACGGCAAATAAACTGTCAGAAGTGCGCAAGGAGTTGGAAGAAGAGTGTGGAATTGAAGTTGTCAACGTTACGACGCATGCGCAAGAGACAGGAAGAATACATCAGTCCCGTGGGGATAGCAAATCCATGGTTTATTGTGACACAAGTGGGTTGAATCATACATCGCGCGAAATCGATTCCTTAACGCGTCTAGTCCCGCGAGATTATCAGCGGGAGTTGTTCCTTTCTGCCATGCGCGGTAATACGCTGGTATATCTTCCCACGGGCTCAGGAAAGACCCTGATTGCAGCCATGGTGATGAGTTGCATGAAGAAGTTGAATCCAAGCAAAGTTGTGGTATTCCTTGTCGACCGAGTACCGTTAGCGTACCAACAAAGTGAGAAGATCAAGTCACAGTTGACAGGTTTGACGGTTGAGACGTTGGTCGGTGAAATGGAGTCGCCTCAAAATGGGGGTATTCATAAAAGATTAGCTGATAACAAGGTTGATGTGTTAATCTTAACACACCAGATTTTTCTAAATTTTTTAGCCGCGGAGGCCAACCCGCCTGTTCGCCTGTCCGATGTTTCTGTTCTGGTTTTGGATGAGGCTCACCACTGCAGCGGGCACCACCCGTACAACAAGATTATGGAGTACTACAAAACAACACCAAACCGGTTTAAACCTGTTGTGCTCGGTTTATCAGCCTCGCCGGCCGGAGAGCTTGAAGTCGAAAAAACCAGAGAGAAGCTAAAAAAGCTCCTTGAGAACTTGGATTGTAAAATCGCGATGCCCATTGAGTCGGATTTGTTGTTACATGTGAATATCCCAAACGTGATTTATGAAACATCTGACTGCAAGAACACTGAACAAGTTATTCTCCAGCTATGTACTGAAGATCACATCGAACATCTGATAAAGAGCCACCTCAAAGATGTACCAGATCGTCAACGTTTTGAGTTTCCCGTCTTCTCATCGAATTTTAGAGGTGCGCTGAGAAAGCTTATTGATAGTTACCATAGTAACAAGAAATGCTTTAAAGCGCTGACCGTTGCTGAGCATGCAATGCACTTGCTCAGTGTTGTTGAGTTTTGCGAAGTTCTCGGTAACCAGTATGCCGTTGAAAGTCTCAAAGAATGTGTACACCGCATTGTTTACGCTAAGTCACCGAAAGATTGTGCTTTGAAGAAGCTAATTGGAAGTCAACCTACTTTTCAAGCACTCGTTTATTTGGCTGACCAAGCAGGCAGGGATGACCACGCACGTGCAGTTGTCATGTCGGACAGGTACAAAATTCTTGAGAAGCACATAAAGCAGTTCCTATGCCAAGCTCAGGAAGACCCAACTTCTAGAGGCATCGTCTTTGTGAGCTTGCGCAAAACGACCTTCAAACTTTGCGAGCAGATCAGAAAGATCGCGGATGTCGCCAAAACATTAAATCCTTACCCTTTTGTCGGCCACGGACAAGGAAGCTATGATGGAATGAGGTGGAAAGACGAACAAGAAAAGCTGTTGAAAGAGTTTAAGAAAGGAATATGCAAGCTTCTGATTTGCACGAGTGTTTTGGAGGAAGGACTGGACGTCCCCGAATGCAACCTGGTCGTTCGCTTTGAGGGTGCAGCAACACTTCGGGCGATGGTTCAGACCCGCGGGCGCGCGTCCCGTAGGCGTGACAGCAAGTTTGTCGTCATTTGCAATGAAAAACAAGAAAGAGATGCCAGAGATCTGTGTCTCAAGGAACAGAACATGGAAGAAGTTATCAGATGTTTGATGGATGGACCGAGGTGCCAATCACAAGCAGATGAATTTGGATGCGAAGTAACAAAACCAAAGCTCTTCCTCCCCAGCACAAAGGATAATGGTGTGAATACTTCTCTAGTCATACGCCACAGCCCTCGTATATCTGTCATGGTGCACAATATGGTTGGTGAAGAATCTCGCGTGATAGATTTTCTGAACGACACCTTTGACGTGATATCTTCAAAGCCAATCCAGTCCACTTCATCGCTCGTTGATGCACCTAAAAAGAAAACTACATTACAAGATATAGCGTTTGAACTCGAACCAAGCTATAATAAAGAAGCCAAGGAGTTTCGCTCAAAGGAAGAGTTTACATGTCACGTGACAGAAGCGTGGTGCACGTGCCTCACTGACCGTGACGAGGAACCACTTCCAGTTTGGCTTCAGGCCCCGCCATTAGAAAAACGCCGCAGATCTAACGAGCCATTTCATTGGTTGAAAGGAAATTCCTTGTGCTTGGGTACTTTTGTGAGTCGATGCCATTTTCAGTGTGAGTGGCCTCTGGAGACCTCACTAAAGAATATTAAGATTCATTTTGATCACAGCTTTAAAATGCTGACCTTGCATTCCTCCAGGCAATCTTCCATCGTTCCTGGTCAAGGTGCTGTTGCTAGAGGTCCATACAAAATAGAATTTCGCTACGACGAGATTGAAGATTTCATAATCGTGGATTCTGATAGTAATGCAGGAATCATCAAAATTTTTCTGACGGCGAGACACCCTCCACGGCTGTATCGATCTATTAGATGGAATGAAACTCAAACTAGATGAAGGAATTGAGATAGCTGGTCAGCGGTTTCAGTTCTTGGGTTCCTCGAACAGTCAGCTTCGTAACCATAGTTGTTGGTTTGTAGGGCTCAGTTCTCTACCGGACGACATTCGTCGCTGGATGGGAAAATTCACCAATATTAAGTGAGTGAGCACTATTCCTTTATTCAATTTCAAACAAGTTAACGTTTTCAGTCAAAATAATTCTCCTGTAAAGCGATATAATTCCTTCAAACAGCCAAACTATTGATTAGAGGTGAACAGGAACGCAAAGCATTTGAAAAGAGTAAGAGATTAACAAATGTTGGCTACTTATTCACTTTGTTACGGGGAAGTGATCAGAGTCTAGAAGTGATGTTGTCACACATTCACCTTTGAGATTCACCATTATTAAATGGTTATATGTACTTTATTTAGGAAAACTGCAAATTACTAGGTATGATGGGAGCAAAGTATTCTGGGACTGTTTTGTTTCACATCACTCGGTGATTGGTCAAGTAAAACTGTTCAACCCTTTCCGCCATTGAGGTGCAAAACTCAAATTGGTCGTGACTCTGCTATTCGCATCTTTCCCCGTTTCACGCAGTTTACTCGTTCATTTATTTTCTATTCCCTTTAGCCTCATGTGATATTTTCCTCTGTTCTAATTGGCCTTATGAACATTAACATTTTTTATATTGGCTTTCCAATAGGTGTGTTGCCTCATACATGGCTCGTATGGGCCAGTGCTTTTCCACCTCCTTAGACGCTGTGGGGTTTGCGACCAGTGAGGATACCTATTATGACGAAGAAGATGACGTTGAAACAGCTGACCGAGAATACTGCTTCTCTGACGGAGTCGGAAAGATATCCGAAGAGCTGGCCGCAGAGGTATAGCAAATATTTGTTTAACTTGGGAAAAAGGGAAGATTTTCTCCCCTGAATACCTGAATACGAGCCCGCTGAAACACAAAGTAGTACTGTGGTGTAAGCCTCTTCACGTGAGGTGCATTGGAATTACCATTAGCGACTTCTCCCTCTTTGAATAATCGTTTTTACGTTCTTATTTTAGGCGTCTACGTGTATTTAATTTCAGTTCTTATCTCCTCCTTGTACTAATTTTAGGTTTATGACAGTCAGTCCTTCGAAAAGCGCTGTAATACACTGTACGTGTTTTAGAAATTTAAAGAGTTGCTAATATGTTACGAAATCTTTATTTGGCAAAAGGAGCTTTCAGCCTCTATGCCTAAAGAAACACATTCTATTTCAGGTTGTCCGAAAAATTGGTAAAGCATTCAAACCATCCGCATTTCAAGTTCGTTTCGCCGGCTACAAAGGTGTCCTTACGCTAGATCCCAGACTTCCAGGGAAACAGGCCATCTTTCGTAGAAGCATGTTCAAGTTTGAACATCAGGTCATCATGCTTCTATCTAACCTAGGAGTCCCGGATGAAGTCTTTATCAAATTGCAAAACGACATGCTGGACAAACTGTCAGGTGAGAGGATGAAGTCAAGAAATTCGAATCACAAAACTTCCGACCTAGATAGGATGATCACTTCATCTTGTTTCGACTCATTACATGGAAACATGGTAAAAGGTTGCCTTTAGAGTTTGAGAACGTTGTAGCTGATAAAATATGGAGACGTGCGACGTTTACACCTTTTTTAACGTTTTGTTTTGTCTCTGTACTGGCTTAAACCACCTCATAACCATGCATTTAAATACATGCTACTGGGCAGTACATGTGATAGTTATGCTGTATAGATGTTCGCTAATTTTGGTGGAAGCTTTTTAAACTCTGCATTTTCATTCCGTGAAAATTGTCTATATCATAACAAAACCGTTCCAGTCAACTGCTGTTGCCGACTAAGTTAGAATTGGCAAACAATAGAGTTAGCGTCCAGGTATTATAATATCTCATATTACTCCTGTCTTTTGTTCAAAGGGATGCTTGTGAATGAACGTGATGCTATTCAGCTATTGGGAAGTGGAGCCAAAATGGGCGTGTCCTATCACAATATTTCTAATGCAGGGATACCACTGACAACGGAACCATTCTTTAAATCGCTGCTGGTCGCCATGTACCGAAATCATATGCACGAACTACTCGCTCGAGCCCGCATTCGTTTGCCACCAGCGGAAGCACGCTTGATGATGGGTGTAATGGACGAGTTAAGTGTATTGAAACCTGGTCAAGTGAGTCTTTTTGATTATTTTTTTTAAAGTTTTACTTTTCTCTATTTCTAACTCTGAGCCTGGTATGGAGGATTCTGCCCCAATATAATCCAACGATAACAGCTGTTTTTTAATGGCTCAAATTTAACCCCTTTGCGGCAGATTTACACAATGAAAAAATCATATTTTACGATCGAACTTCTCGCGAATATTTCGACCAATTTCTGAAGAGCTAAAATACTTCGGGGCTACACTGTCTGGAAGGTCAATATTATGCTGATGTGAATATGAAAGCGATCTTCGCAACTATGAACACTACTTAAGCAGTAGTGAAAAGAAGGCCTGAAAAAAGTTCAGGCCTGTACGGGATTTGAACCCATGACCTCTGCGATACCGGTGCAGTGCTCTACTTCACCTCTACTCTTTTCACTACTGCTTAAGAAGTGTTCATAACTGCGAGGATCGCTTTCATATTCACGTCTTTATCCGCAGTTCAAATATATGACTTTCATGTATTCACAACCGTCTATTATGCTGATGGTCAATGTCAGTACCTGAGCAGCTGTTTACACACTCCTCCCCAAACCCAACACTACCTAACTTGTTTACACTTGAATATTGTTGGACTCCCATAACATTTCACCATTACAGAATTACTTAATGTCCTGCCAAAGAGCATCAGATGGCCGGACATACTCTCCGTTCTCCCCACCCCCCCCCCCCTCCCCCGTGCGCTAGCAAAGCAGGCCACAATAGGCCTCATATCCCGCTCGCAACCACTATCAGATCACTTTTGGAAAAATAATGTAGATTTTGAGAAAGATAAAGAGGAAGTTTGCCTTTGGAGTCCTTTGAATAACCTGTTCATTCTGTTTTATCGCGTTCGTCAGGTTTTCGTGCAGTACTCTGCGGTTGAAACACGTGAGGATCGAGATGACGAGTTTAACAAGAGGGAAAAAATTGTGCTCAGGGGACCAGTGGTGGTTACTCGGAATCCATGTTTACATCCGGGAGATGTACGCCAGCTCGAGGCTGTTGACGTACCAGGCCTCTGTCATCTTGTGGACTGTGTCGTTTTCCCACGTCAAGGCTCGAGGCCACACCCTAACGAGATGGCAGGTAACATGCCTGTTGCGACACTTTGAATCGCTTTCTCTTCCAACCTGAAACACTTACACGCACTTAAAATTTTATAGCTTGATTTATTAGGTATCTCGTGAAAGGACCTAGTTTCCACAGAAGACAGCCTCCCCAACGGAGTAATGTGACCGAAATTTGTTTATTTATTTGCGATATTTAAACGGGCTGGCTCAGTGCAGCATCAAAGCTGGTTTAAATTGGGGCCTGTATAAACAGTAACAAAGTCAGATCACGTCACCGGGAGCTACGTTTTTTTTGCGAGAAATGCGTGGGTTCTTTAATATCGCATTCTAACCAGTACTGTGGAGATGCAGGAGACAGGGCCGACGGTTTAAGGTCCTTATCTGAGTAGACTAGTGTTACGGTATTCTCTAACCGACAGGAAAATAATACAATCCTACAAACTCAACTACTTTATCAAACAACGAGTGATATTCTTAATAAGGAGCGACTCGTAAAGAAAGTACAGTAAAACTTACTTGAGCCCACTACAGTCTATATCTTAGCTCACCACCGAGTCAAACTCACAGTTTCCTCCAATGTTTCTTGAAATTAGCAATCTTCCACTGTAGCTCTCTCTCACGATGTAGCTTTCTAAACAATCGGTCACTCCCAACAACAACAATAACTACTACTTCATAACTGAGTCCTTACGTACAATTACAAAGTGTTCTGGAACATTCCAGAAACTTACAAAAGAACTATTTTAGTAGTATTAAGTAAAAGCTGCGTGACTTGATGAAATGTTCTAGAAAGTTCTATGGTACGCATGTCAGCATGACTAAGCCGTCTGGGGATTTCTAGAAGCTTATGTTTACAACAACAATTACTCACAACACTAGAGTGTCTAACCATTTACAGATGTCATAGCAAAGGTAGCACTTTCTCCTCAGTTGTTTTTAAGACTCTAAGAATCCAAGCGAAATCTACGAAATTTAGTCATAACAAGATCAGATTGTGAATATTGAAATCAGTTTCTGGAAAAATTATTTCTGATTTCAGGCGGCGATTTGGACGGCGATCTATATTTCGTATGTTGGCATAAAGACCTGTTACCAAGGAAAGCAAATTATCCGCCAATGGACTATCCGTCACTTCCTAAACTGGAGCAGACTGAGCCAATTACTACTCGCGACATGACCAAGTTTGTGGTGGATTACATCCGGTCCGATCAGTTAGGCGTTATTGACAATGCGCACAAGGCGTTGGCGGACTTTGAGGAAGACGGTGTGCAATCTCGGGGATGTCTTTATCTTGCAGAACTGCACTCTCTAGCTGTTGACGCACCCAAAACGGGGAAGTGGCCGAGTACTCAGGGTATTGAGGTTAAAAGGCTTCCTGATTTCATGATGAAGAACGATAAACGAAGTTATCCCTCTGAAAAGGTTATAGGAAAGCTCTTCCGGCGCTGTCGGAAGTTTAAAGATGCTACGTCTGAGAAATACGATCAAAAACTTCGTTTGGACAAGTCGTTCCTGTTGCCAGGTAACGACAGTTTCGTTGAAAACGCCAAAGAAGTCTATTATTGGTATCGTGACAAGATGGAAAGCTTGATGCGGCTGTACGGCATCGAAACCGAGGCAGAAATCATCACTGGCTGTTTCATGAAGCTTCGAAATCGCTTGCGCAAAGAAAAAACGGAAATTGCCGAGCTCGTCGGCGAAGAACTGTTCGCAATACGCTTGTACCTCCGTCGGGAATTCTTTCGTGAATTCGGCAGCGATGGACAGTGGTTAAAAGATGAAGTGCTGATTTCTGATGAGATGCGTTTAAAGGCCTCGGCTTGGTACAGAGTGGCCTACACGCTAGCGGATGATCATGCAAATGATTCAGACCCAAGCCACGAGAAGAGGCTATTCGGTTTTCCTTGGTTTATCAATGACGTCATGCTCGCCATCAAAACACGAAAAGATCGACCCAGTCAGCCTCAGGCCTTAGACGTTAGCGCAACCGTGGGTCAGAGCCTCGTAAGGTTGTTTAACGAAGAGAAAGACTGGTTACTTGAGGAGTTCAAAGCTCGAATAAGTATAAAGGACGTTATATGTGGCCATCTGCAGGCCGCTGAATCCACTTCCTCAATGAGTATCGTCGGCTCTACTGCCACGCTACTATTTAACAAGACTTCAGATCTTGATCTGTCCTTTTTACCTCAGGATACACAGGCACGAAGCCATCGTGCCCTCCCTGAGGTACCACCAGAAGAAAGTAACACTTCAGTTGAGGAACAAGCGAAAGTATTGGAGTCCCTGATTCCCATCTTGAAAGAGGAGACGTCAAAGCAACAAGAAAAAAAAGACGAAAACGTTAAAAATCTCTTCTGGAAAGTTCGTCTCGTCAACGAAAAGTATTTCCCGGTAAGCATCACAGTGGTTTTAGTTATATCATATCTAGGGGTGTTTATCTTTACCATGAATTGTGGTAAATATGATGTAGGCGACTTAACTTATGCTGTAGCTTTAGCATATGTTCTTCACATATGACTTGGTAAACAATGACACTGTTGAATCAAGGTTATGATAGCTTTACCGACGAAACACAGCTCCAACCGTCAAGTGTTGGACGATTGTACGCTAACCATGCTTTGAGAAGAGTTTTCATCCACGAAAAATTAATTAAAAAGGGAAAATGATAACATTTAAAAAAAAATATATTTTCCACATTCTTCTCCAGTCTTCAGTTTTCAATCTTCAAATCCTGATACTGCACTTTCCTCAACATTATTTAATTTAAATTTTTGTTTTTCATCCAGGTCCTCTCATGCAAGCGGCCAACAGTGAACCTGATAGATAGCAGTAATTGTTCTCCAACCCTTAGCTGTGATTTTAGTTCATCCCCAGACTGTCTAACAATGGCTGCTCTGCTCTCAAGCTATATCAAGTCGTATCCCCATCTCTTATTGGTACTCCGTGCTATACACCGATGGTGCTGCGTGACAAGGTTGTCACGTAACGCAGCTGGCGCTGGAAACACTTCAAACTTGCTCTCTGCCGTTCTCTTAGCTCAATGCATACAAAACATGCATTTTAATGAGGAGCACGTTCTGGAAACGATAGCACACCAAATGCACGGTGGCACAAGAGATGATAAGCAGTCCATGGAGTTGGAAAATGTCATAAAATATCTGGAAGCTTACCAGAACGATTCCCAATTCCCTCAGGTAGAGCCCGACATCACCCAAATTGGCCAGCTTCTGATGACTTTTTTTCAAGCACACGACTCGTGTTTTGAAAAAGAGCTCCCGCAATCACTCGCACGTCTTTTCCGTGCGCGAAAGCTCTCAGAGCGTCTGGATAAAGATCATTTAGTCCTTGTGAAAGAACAGATGCAACGTGCCTATCAGCTCCTAGCGTTATTTGGAGACGCACAGATCATGTTAACCATAAGTGGCTCCGAAGATTACAACGTAATTTTTCTTTCGCCGCTTCTTTCCTCGTTCATAGCGGGCGTTGAGAAAAGTAAAGCTCAAGAAATAGCGCGGAAGACCGGAGCGAAGAGCGTCATCATTCGCCCAAATTTTCCACGGTCGCGTTCCTCAGCGGTTCTTGAGGTGAAAGGAAGTGAGCCTGCGATACGAGCAGTGGAGAGGGAGCTGGAAGAGATGAGTACACTGGCATCACGTGACAGAATCTCTCTTATGAGTGACTGTTTTGTAGAGGACGCAAGTCTGCTTTTGTTTGAAGGAAGTCGAAGTCAAAATGATCACGTTTCTCTGACACCATACGATGGGCGTTGTCATCAGACACACGACCAATTGGCCCAGCATCTCGCTTTGCTAGAAAACGTCACGAACGATGGAATCTACCCTTACCGCTGTTTTACAGAAAAATTCTTTCAACAACTGCGATTACTTGAGAGAGATTTCGATCCTCAGGTGCATGGTTGTCGTGAATTCGCTGTTCACTTTGGACGAATCTACATGTTCAGTGTTCCGCATATCTTGCTCGAAGATAGCGAGTCCATCACTATTGCAATGCTAAGAACGAATAAACGGAAATCAAGTGTCTTAGTCAGAAGGAACAGCAACAGTCAGGAAGAGTCAGCCCCACTAAGTGTCACTTACGTTGACCAAGAAGAAGAACGCGCTCGGAGAAGGAACAGGCAGGCAAAACGTAATGTGACATTTAGTGAAACCAAGAAGAAGCGGAAACGCGGAAATCCTTCGAGAAGCTCCTTGTTCACGGTTGTTCACTCACCAGACAGAGTGGAGAATTTTCTTCATTATTCCGGATTCCGGCAAGATGGAAATCCCACTGCAAACTACTCAGTGGACATTTTTGATGGATCGGTAGAATTTTACGTCAGGTTCGATGAGGTACTCAACTTTGTTGATGTAAAGCTTCCAAACCTACGCTGGTTTATGGTGGACGTCAAAAGACCATATCAACACCGACCAGATCACGACGTCGCACAAGATGGCGAACAGGAAGATGACAACTTCGTTTTAGACGGCTGGGAGACAGACGTTCGTTTCTTGTTGCAATCCCGTTATGCTTTGGCGCCGAGTGACATCCAGGATACCAAGTACGCTAAGTACCAGTGTATACTCGAACCCAGTACAGGTGAGCAGCCATTTAGTGTTCAGGAAGAGTTGTGGAAAGATGTGCGACTTGTTCGCCACAACAAGAAGTCTAAAAAGTTCACATGCGCTTCACGTCAAGGTGGGTTCCTCTCTGGCCTGACAGCATACCTCAACGAGGTGACAGAATATTCCAGACCATTAGGGCCGGAGAAAGTCGGTGAATTTAGAGAAAAACACACTCGTTGGGAAATGTCATTGGAGGCAAAGCTTCCAGAAGATTTAGCAGCCAAGGAAACTGTTAAAACGTTCTTAGAGGAAGTATGGAAGTTCGCATTTGCTCTATCCTCATTCGTATCGAAGGAAAACTGAATGAGATTAATGTCGGCCAATTAAGAGGCCTCCACCTGTTGAACAATTCTTCATGAGGAATGTTAGATTCGCTGAAATTTTTTTCACGTCACAGAATATTACGATCACTTGATACCAGCTCCAGTTTCTTAGATAAATGGCATACAACAAATAATTTTTTTTGCAATTTCGATAGTCAATTGTTACATTTTTCGAAACTCAATCGATATATATGCGCTCTAAGTACGATTCTATAAGATTATAAACTATGTATAACTGTATCAAATTTAGTTAGCATGCCAGTGAACTCGCTCACCATTCCGAAATGAATCTTTTGTCTGGTCAGTGAATCAGATATTATAGTAAATGTCGCACTAGTTTTCTTAAGAGTGTAATTTTGAGCTTTTTTACGAGAGAATTCCTAACAAGGAATATTCTTTTAACATCATGTTTTTAACGACATTTAAAAGACATTTCATTGGAATCTTTCGGTTCAGTAGCTAAGGTAAAAGTACTGATTTAGATAAATTTTTTCAAACAGCCCTCTTAGTTTTGCTTAATTTTGTCCAATCCGGCAGAAATAAACATGAGGCTGCTGAAAAACAACCTATGCGTAAGCTAAAGGCAGCCATTTTCTAACGCTATAAAGTGAAATTCATGCGCGTGTGGACGAAAATAATGTTTTATGACAATTTTTGGCTGCTGGATATAATTTTTATTGTGTCATGCTTGTTTGAAGCATGTAGGTAACTCAATAAAGGGTTTAAACCTTGCGGAACATTTAGTACTTAATGCATTCTGTTTCCAGGCCGAAGTATTCTCGTAAACGAATTCAGCAACAAAACTGATAACCTACGAAATCTCAGTCCTTCGCAGTCACTCTTTGGGAGGTTACGCGATGTTTTCCCTGGCCAAGAGATGATGCAATTCACCACCCGTCCTTTATCTTATCCTATAAAGCTTAGGTACTTCGAGCGCCCTGATTGGTCGAAAAAACTATCGGTTATTGCACCGGTAAACCTATAGAAAATTTGAATCTATGTAAGTTCATTTTATCTTATGCTTGGATTGTTGGGAGAACACTTGAAAAGTTTGTAAATTATTCGTCTCCGGCTTGTGATTTCCAAACTTTTTTTGTTTTCTCCCAGCTTCCTGTCTGGGTTGTGCTGGGAAACCGATATAACGTACAGTCTATTGCAGGATCAGGACGTAAAGAAGTGAAATAAAAGTTGAGGTTCTCCTTACGTTACTCAACATAACAAATTCAAAGTGCGTCATCCTCATGTTTGCTGTGCATTTTTATAATTTTTCGTCCCTTCAATAAGAAACTAACAATGTTTGTTCTTTATTTTGAGTTTTATTTATCTACAAATAGAGTCAAAAGGAGGCTGTTAACAAATTAGTCTCAACAATTCAACTAAATTTTCTTTATGCTCTTTTCACGATTGAAATTCTCTCACACAATGTCTTCTGTCCTCCCGATTATTAATTAGCTAGGCGTGCAAACAAGACTTCGTGCCAAATCTGTGACGTAGCAGCTGGTCATTGGTTACACTTACTCATCCATAATCATCAGAAATTGTAAGATTTTCAGCAAACTACGTCGTCTGGCCGGAGGATGAAGACGTGTCGTCCATTTGTGCCGAAGATAAAATTACATTTTGAGGAGATAAGACGCTTGGCTAGTAAAGAATAGCAACAGAAAGCAATGCCATGTTATTATACCACCAGGTGAGTATTTCTTTGGAAGATATTACCTTAAAATCCTTCACAAAGCGTAGCAAGTGTCGACATCTTTTCCAAAGAAGTTAATACGTGTCAGTTGTTTCCTTGAACGGTTATACAACTCGAAGCTCGATTGAATAAGGTGTCGGCCACTAAAGATACAGAACCTGTGGTTCTAGTAATCTATGCTGGGAATATATTTCTGTGTTTCTTTCGAACGCTAAAATAAATGTTATCTTCGTTCGTCATTCTGCAGTTGTTCGCGGCCACGTGGAGCTGTAAAGACTTATTCCCCAAATCTCATCCCCGCGGAAATTGGTACATCAAGAAAATAATACAAAATATAGATTTCAAAGTCCTTTAGATTGCATGTCGTTCTAAGAAAAATTTTGTACTCTTAAGCAGTCCCTGATCACGTTTATAATTCATATCTTCAGAGAGGAATGGTGTGAGAAGTATTGGAGGATGAAGAATCTGGACCAGAGGAGACAATGGATCATTGGACAAAAGGAGGATACCACAAAGATAAGAAATTTTATATAATTTTGTAACAGCAATAAAAGTGATGGCCCTTTAAACCTTTCTATATTGTAAGAAGACTTGTGTCTTCCGACAGATGTCTTTTGAGTTATCTTGGACGAGGAAATGCCTGGAATAGAATAAGTTACTTGGTAAGTGAATAGCTTTTGACGGGCCACCATTTTTGAAGTCGTTTGTTGTGGTGCAGATTGTTAAGCAGACTGTGAGAGATCTCGCAGTTCATTTCGACTAAGCTTACTAAAATTTGGTGGAATTCATCTCAAAGAAATTCGTTAAATCGCAAAAATATGAGCAACTGGACATCGATATAAACTTGACTTCAGAAAAATAAAACTAAAATTGTTGATTTTCTTGAATGACTGGTTGTAGAATATTTCTTGGTTGTTTAACAGTTAGTACCACAGCATCAGTTAAGGTGATTTTTTTTTAAGATGGCACTGTATCAGAAGACCTTAGACAAAGACCAAATGAAGTTCCAAAATTCGAATTGCGGGATAAATTACACTTTCTTTTTTTTAATAAGGACAATTGTTGCCGAACACTATCGACTTAAACACCATTCTAATGACTGGAGCTCTGCGAAGGTTTGAACTTACAGCATGAACTTGTTCACAACAACTGACGTAAGAAAGCTAGGTTCTGACTTAGAACAGACTCCGGTAAAATTTCCGCACAGCCCCATCCTACATTATACATTCAGTTCTTGAACAGAGAAAACAATGACAAAAACAATACATTGCCATTGGGAAAACAGATTTGTTTTACAATAGTATGGGGCTGTGCGGAAATTTTACCCAGATTCCTTTAAACAGGTGACAAAACCTTACAACCCTCGTCAAACGACTTCATCGCATTACAGACCATACAGAACAGTCTACTGAATTTACCGACAGATCGAAACTATTAACTAGGAAGAATTCTGAGATACTGCTTGAGCCTGAAAGCCAAAAGAATCACAACAAAACTTAGCAATCGGTTTCACGAACCAAACTAATAACATTTAACTGTTACACCGACCTCTTTACTTGACTGTGACTTTCGATCAAACTGTCAAAACTCATTGGGATCGACTAAAGCTTCATTCGGACGATTACCCAACACAACAGGCTACAAATAATACACAGAGGCAATGTAAAACTTTAGAAATGATTGAAAAAAAAGTTATAGAAGCGAACACTTTATTTTCTGCAAGAACTGAGCTAAAGAAGAAATTACACAACTTTTGCCGTGCAATGAAACAGAAAACTAGTACAGTGCCATCTTAATTAGCTCTTAATCACTTTATCCCGCCAACTGAGGTCGGTATTTATCTGTGAGTTCTTTTTTAAACTCTAATGCCTGGTCAAGAGTCCTTTTGAACATCGTTAAATTCGGAGTGTGTCGTTATATCTAACAGTTGTTGACAAAGAATTTAGTCTTCCAAGGTTCGATGAGATTTCTGTTCGTAGGGATGAAAATGGACATCTAAAAAGTTTTGAGAATCGATGAAAACAAGCTATCAAACTGACGACGAATAAACAGGCTTTTTTGGGAATAAATAATAAAAAGATTAATGCCGAACTTAATTTATTAAAAAAAAGAAAAGCGTGCTAGTCTCAGTTTTCCACAACAAATTATAAAACGTTCGTACGGGTTCATAAAATATTTTGGCTCGTAGTAAGAGGCTTGTTTGACTATTAGTACAAGTTTCACAAAGAAATATAGATTTCCACGCTTTGAAGAGACTTTATTTGACCTAAAAGATGATGGTGAATTGTCTCAAAATTCGCAAAAAATATTCAAATTGGATAAAAAGCAAACGAAAATGGAAAAGAATAGCACATTGTCTTTTTTTGTTGATGTTTTTAAAGGTGCTAGAGATAATGCGACTTTTGTTTAGGGTTTATCAACATCGGGTTTTCAATATCTTTTTTCAACACCGTGTAAACATAAATGATGTAGTAACGTGTTGATTGCTGAAAGAATTAAATACCAAATTCTGCATATGTTGCAAAATGCGGAACGCTTTAAGAATAAATCTCTTTTTTTATTTCAAATTTATACACACAGTTGAATTTCGATAAGATTCCACATTATGGCGACGAAAGATGAAATTTAAGAAGAAGTTTAAATATTTGCTCATAATGAATATAAAGTTTTAGAAAGAAGGCGCGTTGATTTTTCACGAAATCCTAACAAAATGCAAATCAGTTAATTCAACAGTTTTGTTAAATAAATCAGTTTTGCTGTAAGCTCTGGTTAAAATCTTTCGCATATCTATCACTGAGAACAACGAAATTTAAGATTTGAAGAATGGGGCGAAAAAGCCTGTTAATTGTATGTACATTGTTGACTTTGCAACCAGAGTCTCTCGAATCAAATGATTTTTATCGTCTTACAGTGCAAAAGGTGTTTCCTTCAAATTTCAGATAGAGGCATGATATTCAAATCCAAAGTCTACTGAATCAAATGATTTTCATCGTCTTGCAGTTCAAAAGGTGTTTCCTTCAAATTTCAGATAGATGCATGATATTCAAATCCAAAGTCTACTGAATCAAATGATTTTCATCGTCTTGCAGTTCAAAAGGTGTTTCCTTCAAATTTCAGGTAGATGCATGATATTCAAATCCAAAGTCTACTGAATGAAATGACTTTCATCGTCTTACAGTGCAAAAGGTGTTTCTTTCAAATTTCAGACAGATGCATGATATTCAAAACCAAAGTCTACTGAATCAAATGATTTTCATCGTCTTACAGGGCAAAAGGTGTTTCCTTCAAATTTTCAGATAGCAATGGCTTTTTGTTTTTTGCCGATTTATGTAACGTTCTCTTCTTTTTCTTTTAACGAACGTCTCAGTTAATTAACCAGACTTTTTAGATATGTCGCATTCGGGGAAAGGAATTACTAGTTTCTCTTTTGACCAGGCATTAGATTTTAAAATAATGTCGTAGTTAATTTAGTTTACCTTGTATTAAGTTGTAAACAAGATCTTGAATGCTGTCACTCGGTGTAACACAGGATCATGGCAAAAAGAAAAAAAAATTAAACGTTCCAATGGCTAGGGAGTTTTAAATTTGGACTCAACCAGCGCTCAACTGCGACACTTCTCAGGGCCAATTGCTTTATTTGCTTGAGAAGAGTGTCAAGAATTCGGAACTTAATTTTTTGAGTTGGCTCTCAAGGATAAAATAAAAAAAAATCTGTTCCAACAATTACTCGGCTATTTCATTTTTGATGGAAATTATTTAGTCAATAAAAACTCGGAGCCTAATTGTGAACTTTATTCGCTCTTGCGGATAAAATCAAATTTTAAAAAATATGCTCCAATAATTAAAAAGTTCTGTAACTCCTTCCACGATTCATTTACAAGTCTCGGATACGTTTTCAGTTAAAGCAGTTTTTCTTTTCTGGAAAGGATCAAGAATGACGCATTGTTATTAAAAAATGGCTTTGAAAATTGATTTAAAAGTTCTG